TTCAACCCAATTCAATTCAATTCAATCTAACACCGACGGGTATGAATGGGTTTCTGTCTTGGACATTTGGCCTTTCCCATTTCTACGTTTGATGCTCGTTTGCCATTATTGATGGAGAATTATCCAGATGGGTCGGTCGTGGATAGTAGATAAGTAGGTACCTACGTATCTATCTGTCTATATGCATACGATCAGTGAATTGAATCGCTAAATCGGTATAGCATATCCTCTCATATCATGCTTGAATCTTCTTCACCTGCTTCCCTTCCCATCCCTTCTTCACCCATAATTTGAATCCTTAGCATAGACGAGACGAACGAGGGAAACAGCAACTGAGAAACAGAAACAAATAAATAAAGGAAATAGACACTCCGTCCTCCTCTTTGGGAGCGAGCTGTGGAACCCAGATGAAGATTACATGGACCAATCGGTTTGGGGCATTTAATTTCAATGTTACTTTACTTTATTGTACTTTACTACTTTACTCTATTTTACTATACTATACTATACTTTACCAGAAAGGGGAAATGGGGTTGCTATGGTATGGTATGGGATAGGGTAGGATAGGATAGGATGGGATGGGATACAATAACTAGGGGTAGAAGGACTCCGTGGAGACTAGAAAAATCAGCTTGCTGCCCAAATCTTACTCACTCTAGTTTTTGGTCTTTAACCTTTAGTCTTTAATCTTGAGGTTAACTGGTAGTGTAGATTGGTTGGTAGGTGGGTGGGTGGGTGACTGAGGTTGGGGTCCATGGGTTGAATGGGTTGGTACTTGGTTGGTTTGGTTTGGTTGGGGTGGGTTGGTTGGTTGGTTTTGCTGGACGGGACGGGTTTTGTTATGGGTGGTGGATGGATGGATGGATAAATGGATGGGTGGGTGGGTGAAAATTGACTATTTAAATGGATGGTGAGTGGGAATCATTATGGAAATCAGCGGCTGAGTGTGTGAGTGACTGATTGATGATTGACTGATTGACTGACTGACTGACTGACTGACTGAGTGACTGACTGACTGACTGACTGAATGACTGAGTATACGTATGTACGTACGGGCCGGTAGTGGGATGAATCATGAGTGAGGTGTATGAAGGGGTTTCATATTAAAATGTAGATTAATCGACAGACTATACCATATCCTTAAACAGAGAGAAGTTGATTGAACAATGAACGGATATATATTTATGAATTAGTATAAATCACATAACATAAAAATAGAAGAAAGAAAACTACAATTAAACACCTCATCCCATGACACTCGATTTTCCAGCTATGTATGGATAGGTAGAAAAACTTAGAATTTAAGTAGCGCTTAATTATAACAAGAGGGGTACGTACATACATACATACATACATACATACATACACACAAGTTGCCAATTGTGCTTTGCTCTGCTCTGCTCTGCTCTGCTTTACTTTGCCTTTGCCTTGCTTTGATATGATATGATAACCACCCCAATCCAACCAACTAACCCATGAGCACGAACTTTAGAACTGAACTAGGTCTTTCAAAATCGATAAGTTGTTCTTGTGCATGTGGTGTGTGGTGTGGTGTGGTATGTATGGTCTGCTAGAGGATGAGTCGATGCGATGAATGGATAGGATAGGATAGGATAGGATAGGATAGGATAGGATAGGATAGGATAGGTAGGTTGCATGGGCTTGACTGAGTGGGTTAGTAAGTAGTAAGTAGTATTTATCATTATCATTATCATGGTCTATGGTACGGTACGGTAGGGAGGATGCATGGCATGGCATGGCATGGCATAGCATGGATGCGATAGATAGTGTGAAATGAATTGCATGGGAGGGGAGGGGAAGGGGAGAGAGAACTATTGTTTGTCTGTTTGCTTGTTTGTTTGTGTGTATATATGTATGAATGAAGATTGACTGAGGGTTAGATATCCGGGGTGGCCGTTTGGGGAACGGAGTAGAGTACCGCTAGTAGGTAGTAGGTTCGTAGTTCTTGATTGTGGTGTTGGCCAAGGTTTCTTCTTTCTTTTTCTTGATAACTTGGAGGAAGGGATATGGATAGTGGATACATTTATGTTTATGTTTAGATTTGGAGGGGATTCTTACAATTTGATCTTAAGAGCTGGTGGGATGGCGACATAGGTTCGCTGTTAGCTTTGTATGTATGTGTGTGGGTGGGATGGGGCGGGGGAAGGGATGAAGATTGAAAATGGGGATGAGCAGGATGAGCGTGATGAGATGAATGATCATTTGTGCAATTGATTGGATGAAGACTTTGAGACTAAAGATGCAGAAAGATAATAGTATTTGGTACATCGTAGTGCTCCGTATTTATTGGTGAATTCTGCTTGTTCTGGTACTTTATATTTGTGCTGTACACCATGGAAGGCGCCCCCGCTTCATACTATACAATGAATACTCATTCTCTGAAGCTATTATATACAATCTCCACTAATTCTCCAACTACCTGGGTTTCATTTGTATTGTATATTGGCTCCGCCATTTACCCTCGGGATACCTATTGTGAGTAAGGTTCTATTCATCCAAGATTGATTGGTGATCGTGGCCGGCACATGACTATGAAGCGGAACATATATATTAAGGTCTGTAGTTTTCATAACTTAGAACGTCCCTTTCCTTCTGTGGCCCTTTAAATAAACTCGGTATCTACATATGATACCCTAGCCCAGTAGTGATAGTGCCATTGATAGCTTGGGCTTGAGCTATATGCGTGTGTTGTAGCATTTATTGATTTATCTGTAGCCTTAACTCCCGTGACCTTTCAAAATAGTGATAGAAACTCACTACACTAGTCATCGATCACAGTCGTTCATTCCCTCTCTTTTAGCTCTCTAAAATGCACTTGCTGTAACATCGGCTAGTACAGTAGATGTATTACTACTAGCCACAGCTACTGCCTTACTCATGCCTTCTTTCCACATAAATAACGTATCCTGACCATTTCCACACAAGAAATCTGTATCACCTTCACAAATGACACAATCATCTGGATTGGTCACATTTACCAATACCATGCTAACACTAGTTGGTAGTGCAGTAATTTGGGCCATGGAAACACAATTAAAGGTGCTTGCGCCCAAGTTATGGAAAAATAGAAAGGGGCGGCGATAATGGGTATCTTTGACTACGAGCTGTGCTCCTACATTTGGTGGAATGGCCATAGATGAGAGCTTGACGGGCGTTGTGTAGGAAGGGATTGAAGATGAGATGCGGGGTTCTAAACTCGACCCAAGGCTGAATCGCCTGCGAGGATGTGTGACGAATCTAGACTATTCATGCCGTTTAAAGAGACGAATTCCAGAATATCGATTTTGTGGAATACTGATGCTGGTTTTGGAAGAGGTGTTCATATCTATGTTTAAAGATGGCGCTGGAGTACTTGGTGGTCTTTGTGAACATGGCTGCGTAGGGGGCTTGGAGGGCGACATAGAAGATCTCCGAAGAAGGGGATAATTTTAGTAATATCTAACTGGATCGGTCGGGGAGCCAGTCATGGCCTATGTAGAAAATCTCTTGATGGGAAATAAGGAAACAAAGCTGTGTAGTAGAATGAAAAAGGCACAGAAAATGGAACATTTATATAAATGGGGACACCGTGACCATGAAAAATCATGCTTAAGTCCGATGTAGGTTGTTGGATTGGAAGTATGCAGAGTTACTGGCGCTGTTTTATTAGTAGGGTCAAGGAGTTAAAGGACGTGAGTATCGAGAGGTTCGATGAGCAGTTGGCCATTGGAACGAACGGTAATGTTTTCTGCCAAGGTTTTTTCCCTGAAAGATCGTGGCTCAATGACGGGGAAGGGAAGAGAAGCGGGTGAAGGCTTTGTGACACTACCGACAGACAGGAGACTTGTGGTCAGGACACCTATATGGCATGAAAAACACAGCGCATCTTGTGGATTGTGAAAGGATGTCAAGATGTTCGAAGTGACAACAATTCCATGATGATCCGTTCCACTAGTAGGACATACTCAAATTGATAATTTTGACTTTACAAATCCACATTATGGTCGCCTATAGTAACACCATGAATTTTAGGTTACAGTTGTACAGCTAAGGTGATACCAACCACTACATCAGAGGTAACGTGAAGGCGGGATATCGCTCCTGATATAAGCGGCAAGGGGAACTCCCACAAGAAGGACTGAATAATCATATGATTGAAGGTTCCGGTCATTATTCAGCAGTAAACGCATATAATTTGAAGTCATCTTGGATTTTGGACTGCAGTGGTTTGAAGATAAGTGATCTCGAAGGTATGTAAACGACTGCCAAAGATATCAGTGTGCAGATGAGCAGGGGAAAGCTGAAGAAATGTGATAAACCGGCGGATGCTCTCGTGTTTACAGAGGACGCGATCCTCTTTATTCTGCATGATCTCGTGTAACCTAAAATATGAAAGAACAAGATATCTCTAATTAAAAGTTCTTGTACGACTTTCCAATTGCGACTTTTAATGCGAGACTGTTACACCTGGTGTGACACTCCGACATGGAAAGTTGGTAAGAGGAGTTCGTGGTAAAAATGATAGCAGTTGGAGGTATTGAAATCGTTTGACGCGATACAGATCCACCTAAGTAGCTGAATATCTGATATGAGAGAAAGAGACAAGTGAAGGATTGGCTTTCGCATTTCGACCTCAATCTAAAGAAGCCTGTTGCGTTAGACTACCTTCTGCGATACCTGAGTGACTGTCGTAAAGTTTCACATCCATGGTATGGCCCATGGTGTAAATATCAAAGATAACTTCTTCAAATCTTAACAGATATTTAGCAGCTCGCCGATTGATACATGATATAGCGAACCCTAATGAATGTGCCAACCAATACTTCGATGTTTGATAGAATATGGTGTCCACTTGGATCTTGGATAAATTCACCTGGAATTGGTGGTCGTGACATAGCCATTAATAAACCCTCAAAACCAAAACCAAAGCCAAAACCATACAGGATGGCATGATTCTCCTCCATCATTAAACACCCAGAGTCTATGGATTGTTCAACTCAAATAGGCGTTATCCCACCGAGTATACATAAAGAAAACCATTCTCTAAATTGGTCAGTTATATGACCTCCGAAATTTGACTTTGCTCTTGTACATTTTACCTCTCTCTCCACTACTCCGTACAGTTTGAGTGAAATCAAGCTGATAAGTGCGTACCGCCTTTAACACGCTAACCGGATAAAAATGAATGCATCGCAGAACGTAACGGTCCCTGAGCATGTTCACACACAGCATACATAACATGAAAGATGCGACGGTATGAATCAAGTGTCATGGTCTTTCCTTAACGAATTTTATGATTGATATGACTTATGGGAGTTGGTAGTTAGGAGTGTGTTTCTCGTGCTAAAAATAATTAACGATGGAGCAAGCATCATCAAGCTCAAAAGTTACAGGTAACAAACATATTCTCAGAATATTCAATGGGACTGTGCATTTGCTAAAACCATCAAGTTGAATATTTCGATCCTGATAACGTATATCCGCTCCTGTCGCCAGGACTTCTGCCTCGACTACCCCTTCGAAACCTGCACTGGGAATCACATGCCGGTCCTCTCCGTTCCATATCCTCCCTCCATGTCGACCTCATTAAACACAATCCAGACTCCGGTCTAAACGCACCATCAGTGCCCCTTAATTCTAGTACATCCGACCTATCGCGAGTAAGAAGTGCGGACTCTGGCATCAGCGCAGATGATGGTTTTCGCACACAAGCAACTGGCCAAGCTGCTGTTGACAAGCCGCCGACACTCTATCGATCCACTACCACAAGTTCGGCCGTGAAAGGTCGCAGACATCAAATACCTGGGTTAAGGCAGACACCATATTTGAAGATTTTGTTTTTGCGCTGCGATGATAATGATACATACAAGTCTCATGGCCGGAAGCAGGTTCGAGAATGGATAAAGGAACATACCCCATCATCCGCGAACAAATCCACTTCGCAGGAAAATCATGACAATTTTGAATATCTCATTGTGCATGTAATCGTTCCGAATACTGCAGCAGCTACGCAGCCTAGAACGAGTGGGAAAAATGCGGATGGTAGTTCTGGGTCCGCAAGTGAAAAATCTACAGCACTTTGGAGAGGCGGTGGATCATCTACGATTCTCGAGAAACTGAGAGCAGATTTCAATGGCTCAACGAAGTCTGGCGTTGATAGAATTGCTCAGATCCGCATCGGTATCAATGATGTTCCATATAACATGCTCCCTCGTGTTGTTCCAGCGATCCCTGGCTCATATACGGAAACGCCGCAAGAGAATGAGAATGCTTGGATTGATCTCATTTCGAAGCTCAAATTCTTGATATTGCAGTCATTTGATATGCGGGTGACCCAGTACGAAGAAAACATTCGCGAAAAGGATAGTCAAAGAAGTTTACCCGGCTGGAACTTCTGTACATTTTTTGTACTTAAAGAAGGACTTGCGAGAGGATTTGAAAGCGTTGGCTTGATTGAAGATGCTTTGGTGGGCTATGATGAGCTTTCTATTGGCTTGGATACCATTGTTAGACATCAAGCTGCTGCAGAGTCCGGAACTCAGCACGGTGGTTCTTTTCTGCCCTATACCGAAGAGCTTAGGCTCCAGGCAGAGCGAGCAAGAGAGGCTATATTGAAAGATATAGGCTTCGAAGGTACAGAGTCAGAGGTGCCGATTGATTTACATTCCATGGGTGAGGCTCTCGATAGGGAGGATGTTGAGATACCAATTAACGCATCCAAGAAGCGATACCGAGAACTTATTCTTGCGAATGATGTCTCAATATTTGACTTTCGTTGCTATTTATTTGCTCGTCAGTTAACCCTCTTACTGAGATTAGCAAATGCATGGTTTACACAAGAAGAATTACTCGCAAAGTTGAAAGAACAGAGAGAATCAAGCCTACTAGGTGTGGCTGCTAGACTTCCAGCATCACAGCCCTCAGACGATACTGAAAACCTTGCTGTGCTTGGTGAGATTTGTAACCGAGCAATGGAATTTATTCGTGCTATATCAAATATCATGCGTGAAGATATTTGGAGTGCTTATTTCCACTCTCAAAAGGAAATTTCGTACGAAAAGGCAAAATCAGATTTCAAGTCAGATCCTGTAATGAATCAAGTAATTGAAAATGTTGTTTCCTCTTTCACATTTTCTCTTGCTCAACAAATACTTGCACAAACTTCAACAAAAGCGTTGCCTATACCACCCTCAACATTGGCGCCTCCTGGTAGTGGTGCCGAACCAAAATCTGCAATCCCCGAACCTAAAACCATGATGCATCCTGCCAGGACGACCTCTCTCGCCCTCCGATCGTCATCTCGAGAGCCTCCAAGCCCCGGACTATTTCCCGGAGCTCGAAGGGCTAGCTCACCTGGTCCTAATGCAGGTCCGTCGGCCTTCCTTAAAAACGGGCTGGAGGAACTTGCTGCCCACCGAGCTGAACTCTATTTGCTCTCTCGGAGTGTTCTAGAGCATGTTGGTAAACAACGTGAATGGACTACCGGTTGGGAAAATATAAACAAGCATCAAGACGAGGATGTGGAAGTCATGGAAGAGGTTAACCTTGACGAGGAGGCGCCGTCAGACAAAGACGAAATACCTGTCCCAAACCAAGTCCCGCCTTCTTTACGCGGCATTGACAGCAAGTTGCTCCGGACAGCACTAGACAATAAAGAAGACTATTATCGTCTGTACGAGACCCTGACTGACAAAGCACTTCGGCATTATACTGTGGCAAATCGCACTCAGTCTGTGCAAACCAGCATGGCAGATTTGGCTATTCTTAAATTTCACTTGAAAGACTATGCTGCTGCTGCCTCTTATTTTTATCGCATCACTCCGTTTTACGGGGATTCCTCATGGACACAAGTTGAAGTATCGCTGCTAGTAATGTATGCTAAGTGCCTCAAGGAGCTGAGTCGTAACGATGAATATGTTAAAGTTGTGCTGAAACTTCTTGCGAGGGTGGCTATGATGGAGAAAGAAAAACTTACCAGAAAGTTAGCCTTTAGATTCGGTCCAATGAGTACCTTTGACGAAGGAGATGACATGCTCAGTGATACATATCTAAATGAATTGTTATTAATAACGCAAACACTGTCTCGTGACATTCATGTCCCCCTGCAGGATTACTTTAGCAGGATTGAAGTAGATGGGACTCCACAATATCATACCAGCCAGGATAGTTTCGGATTATATCTTCGACTCCAGTACTTACTGAAAGAGGACTTCAACATCGACAAGGCCCGGGTGAGGATTATCCCATTGATGGGCGGTCCTGGTCGAGAAATTTGGCTTGAGACAAATGCCGCAATTATGTTTAAGAAGGGATGGAATAAATTATACGTTCAGAGTAATGTAAGTGAGGGAGATCCGTTAAAATGATAATTTCTGATGGTTATAGACTATAATCCCTGGCTCTTACCAAGTTACTCATGTTGTTCTCCATAGTAGCAAGATTGTCATGGAGTATTCGCATGATAATATCGGGCATATCGCTACAAGAGACAGTAGCTTTTTCAAATGCCCAAAGCTACTTATTTATCAACGCGCAGAAGCTTTCAATGCCAAGCTCTTTTCTTCCAAGTGCATGTATCTAGACCAAAACCGTTCTCTAGAGATTGAGCTGTCGTCGGGTTGGAATATTGTCACAAATGGCCAACTTCAAATTCGTGCAGCAACAGCTGGGCTGCGGCTTCAAACCAGCGAAGTCACTGTTATTGGTGGAGAAGTCGATATTTCAAAAAAGCGGGAGGTAGGAGTTGTTCACTATGGTGCAATGGACGCAAAAACTATCGCAAGAATACGAGTACCTTTCAATCTCGAGCATGAAGTGAACGAAGTTAGTCTCCGACTTGAATTATCATACACTACGAAAGATGGAGACTTCTTCTTCGCCACAACCTCTTCAGTATCGATCATGCTTCCATTGGGCGTCAACGTTCAAGATGTATTTAAGCATAGAGCATTGTTTTCTAAGTTCACCATCTCAACATCTACAAATAGTCCCCTTCGACTCCTTAGCTCAAAGCTTGAAAAGTCGGAAATTTTTGAAGCACAAAGTGGACTTGGTCTGACAAGCCCTCTGACCATATTTGCCCGTCAACCAGCGTCTCTATTATACAAAATTATCAAGAGAAAATCGCCCTCAACTACAACTGGTCGAGGGAAGTCCCACAAGCCGAGAACTTTATCTCTCATATTACACTATATTTGTCTTGACGAAGAAGTCTATGATGTTGTCGCACAAGTTCTGGGAGAGTTCTTCGAGGGAAATTCTTTACGTCCATATACTCGCCTAATAATACCTGTCATTCTCGCGGAGATACGAACACAGTTTCAAGCATATGATTTTGAAAAAGCAGCCATACTTGGGGAGATACCTACATCTCCCATTCTCAACATTAGATGGCATGACCACTTTTCGGGTCTGGGCAACTCCATCGAAGAAGATCAAGATACTGCCGTTCTCATTGGAAACATACTCAAGGACTGGCAGGAACAAAACCCTGCCATTATTTTGCCGCCTCTATCTATCGATAATGATGCCATCTCGAAAAGCCGATCTATCGTAATACCCGTAGATGTTCCTTCAGTAACGGTGGTGCATACTGCAGATCTAAGGCTGCTTCAGACAGCATCCATAGCATCTAGTTGTGCTGTAGCAGCAGCGAACGAACCAATACCAGCATCATTACACCTAAAATCGACAAGGAACTGGGATACTGCCTATCAAGATGACACAGCAAGCCCAGAAGAAGATTTAGAATTCGTATATGAGGTTACAGGACCATCAGACTCATGGCTTATCGGTGGTAGGCGAAAAGGACACTTTAAAGTTCCTAGAACGATAGATGGCAAGAATCATAAGTCGACTTATCCTATTGTATTAATTCCCCTTCGAGAAGGGTTCTTACAATATCCTACCGTCGAAATCAAAGCACTTCATAGCACCCGAAGTGTCAGGCCAGGATCATCGGGTGGCGGAGAGGAAAGTGTTAAGAGTAGAGCACGGCCTGTCACTTGCGAAACTGACAGCAAGAATACGGGCGAAACTATTCGAATTATAAGTGATGCTAGGAAGACAACTATGAGCTTAGATGCTAGTGGACCTCAAGGAGGTGCTTGGTTGTTAGAAAGCGAGAGAAGGCCAGCAGGAGTTGGAGGTATTGTGATAGATTGACGGTCTTACCTTGCAAGATAATTTTGGAGCAATGAAGTTTGAATGTAGATAACCACTCGTGATGGATAGTACGGTCTGAGTGAACGTTAACGTTCTTAATGAATTGGTATAGTGAGTGAGGTATTCAGATGACTGCTGCTTGTTAAGTGGCAAATAACAAAACATAAATCAAATGGCTTTCCTCTTCCAAAAAGATGCATATCGTCCTACATAAGTTGTTTCCTACGATAGATTTTCTACATTAGGAAATAAAAACCGAGTATCGCAGTATTGAAGGCATTCCATGACATCCATGACAGTAGGTAACGTAAGAGTGACATTCTTATCGGGCTTTTATCTTCATCTTATCGAGACTCACGCTTAGTCCCATTTAACTTCAAATTCATTAATATTGACCAATCGATGACTGGATTCACGACAGTAATCACTTAAACCTTGGATAATGCGGCTTTCCCAATGAGGAAGTGATTGGTTCGAAGTCCCCGCATTAGATCGAATCACAGGTCGTGATTCGATTAAATCTACGACGGCCAAGATCCCAGTATCATCTACTAGTAACCTTGGTTGCTCTTGGTTGCTCTTGCCATTGTGCTGACCATGAAAGTATCTTACAGAGATTTTTTCATTTGAAAGGTAAGTTGCCTCTCTCTCTCTTGTTTCCTACCTTCCGCTTTTCTCTCCTTCTCTTCCTGTTTTCTTCCCATTAGTCCTATTTCCCCTCAGTCATATTCAGAGGACTAGTATTCAATATGGAAGAAAAGTCCGGCCCAGTGACAAGCTATCCTGGGGAGTCGGGAAGACCAACCACAGGATATGGTGAAAAAGATCTTCCATCCTACCATGGCGATGATAGCCAGTCGGAAGCACTAGTCCTCGAAAATGCCGACGGACTCAAACGTCGACTTTCTGGGAGACAAATTCAAATGGTTACAATTGGTGGTTCAATCGGTACAGCTTTATTCGTATCCATTGGATCTGGGCTTACACAAGGTGGACCGGGATCTTTATTCATTGCTTTCATCTTATACAGTTGTTTTCTTGGATTAGTAAATAATTGCATGGCCGAGATGTCCATTTTCATGCCGGTCAGTGGGAGTTTTGTGAGGATGGGGAGTAAATGGGTTGATGAAGCCTTTGGGTTTATGTTGGGGTGGAATTTCTTCCTTTATGGTGAGTAGGATTCAATGACCCGTGCGGGATTGTGAATTATGTGAATAAAGTGCTAATAAGAATCTGAATCAAGAGGCTATATTGATTCCCTGGGAAATTAGCGCATTAAATTTGGTGTTGACCTTTTGGAGGTGTGTATCTCCAGCTCTTTCCTCAATCAATGGCCAAGCTTGAGTAAATCTGACATATTGGAACAGCGATAATATACCCTTAGCAGCGGTCTGCGCTGGATGTATTTTTCTCTATGGGTAAGCTTCTACTTCCGATCCCATGTCCAATTTCTGACTTGGGTAGTATCATCAACCTGTTCGCTGTTAAGTGGTATGGAGAGAGTGAATTTTGGCTTTCTGGTGGCAAGGTGGTGTTAATAGCTATGATATTTTCCTTCACATTCATTACAATGGTGGGAGGAAATCCGAAACATGATGCTTATGGATTCCGTTACTGGAGAGAACCGGTAAGTCACACACTTTTCTCGGCTTTCTTTCATACTAACCACCGATAGGGTGCTTTTGCCGAATATGTTACCACTGGAACTTTGGGAAGATTTGAAGGATTTCTCGCCGCATTATGGAAAGCCGCATTCACGATTGTTGGTCCCGGTATGTTAAATCGTGCCACAATTTTACTTAAAATTCATAGGCGTTTGTCAGTCTAACACTATTCTAGAATATATTGCCATGATGTCAGGAGAAGCCTCGCATCCACGGAAAAATCTCAAACGAGCTTTCAAGACAATTTACTGGAGGTTTGGTGTCTTCTTCATCGGAGGAGCCCTGGCATGCGGAATAGTCTTACCATACAACGATAAGAAATTAATAGCTATCCTTGAAAGTGGTGGTTCAGAAACTGGAACCGCAGCTTCAAGTCCTTATGTTATTGCCATGCAAAATCTCGGAATTGGTGTGCTGCCGCATATTACAAATGCATTACTTGTGACGAGTATATTTTCCGCCGGTAACTCTTATGTGTATGTTTTCCGTTCTTATTTAATAATATATTGGAATATACTGATTCCCTAAAGGTATTGCGCATGTCGTACATTATACAGTCTCTCACTCGATGGTCATGCCCCACGTTTCCTACGAAAATGTACCAAATCTGGTGTCCCGATCTATTGTTTTTGCGTTACCATGATCTTTCCATTTTTAAGTTTCCTTGCTGTAGGCAGTAGTTCGGGACAAGTCATCACTTGGCTTGCAAACCTTACCGAAGCTTCGCAAATCATAGATTATATTTGCATGTGTACTATCTACATATTTTTCTATCGAGCATTGAAGGCACAAGGTATCGATAGAAGTACTTTACCATACGTAGGTTGGTATCAACCTTATTGTGCGTGGGTTGGACTTGCGACAATGATCTTTACTGTTGGATGTTATGGATATACTACATTTTTGCCTGGATGTGAGTTTTTCTTATTCTACTTTCCTGTAATATCCCCATTAAGAAAGTACAACACTGATCATAAATAGGGTGGGATACTGGAACATTCTTCTCCTACTATACCATGGTATTCGTCTGCCCAATCCTATACATAGGATGGAAAGTCCTCAAGAAGACCAAGTTCGTCAAACCAGAAGACGCTGATCTTATTTGGGAAAGACCAATTATCGATGCTTATGAAGCGAGTGTAGCCGAAAAACACATATCATTTTGGGCTGAAGTCAAAGTTATGATGGGTTTTGGAAAGATGGAAGAGCATCTGGAGTGATGTATTCATGATAAAGGCAATTTCGCGAGGATAAAGAAGAATTACGATCCGGGATCGTTACTTAAAATTTAGTATTAGAGCATAGAGAGTAAATCTGTATATTCCATTAGGGCATCTTATCAAATACTAATACTTTAGTGTATATTTGAGGAATATCATCTGAGAATTTTAAGTTATTATATATATCTTTTTAGGTAGACGTCTATAAAATCTATTTTAAATCAAGGTGAAATTTCTTATTTTTAAAAAAAAGTAATTAAAATAAAAAAGTGATAAGAATATAAAATAAAAGACTTATTTAAATATTATTTTATCATTAAATAATATTATTAAATACTTAGATTAAATTTTTTAAAAAGATAATATAAAATTTAATATTTGAAATTGATATATTATAAAGATCTGATGTTTAATAATAATTGATATCTTTTTTAAAAGAAACAAATTTATAAGATTAGACAATTTTCGTCAGATTAAGTCACGTATTACACAAGAGGACGAAATTTGAGAAATGAGTTCTCGATAAAGTATTACATACATGCATACTAGAGAGAAAAGTGACTTCATTCAGTAAGTGGCGCCTCTTCCAACCAATTAACAGCAGCCCCATAGCACTCCTATAGCTCGAGCAAACGAAGTCTAGTCTGCAATTCGAGAATTTCCATCTTCGCGTCCGTCATCCCCTTCATCAATAGAACTTTCTCAGCATTCCAGTAGTGTCCCCTCTCTATCAACTTCTTGATCTGAGCATCCAAGTCCCTCAATTTAAAAGACATCCCCATTATTCTGCTTGTTATCCCAACAACTTCAAAGTACTTATCTGCCTTGATCACAAGCCTCTGACGCTTAAGCACTGCATGCAGTGTGGGAGACGAATTTTCGCACCTGTCAAATGCATAAGCGGAATCTAATCGCGATTTCGCTTCCTCGAGTTGCTTCTGTATAGTGATTATGAACGCATCATCAAATATCCCCCGATGATAAATGATCGATTGCGCGATCGATACATAAGATGTTATGATTTCGTCGATTGGTCTAGAAATAATGCGAGAATTTTGTGTCATGTTCGGGCTGCCATAGGCTGTACCACCGCTGGGCTTGGGGTTTGCGTTCCCTTGTCCGTACGCTGAATCACTGCGAGTGTTGTAAGAATGCTTGTAATTGTGTGGTTCAGACATGGTCTGGAAATGGTGTTAGTTACTCTGAATGAAAATTTGGGTCGGAAATGAAAGAATGTAAAGATGGATAATGCATTTGTCTTTCCTGGTTGAGACGTACCTTGATGTCTTTAGAGGACGATATGTTTGTGTATTGCTGATTATTTTTTCAGGTGATCTCTTGTGACTTGTTTGGGAGTGAGGTTGGCAGGTGTCTGAAAAAGGATGGTAAATAATAACTTGGGGAAATTCTGGCTCTATATACCCCTTTTTTTATTTCGCATGAAAGCTAGAATAAACATGATCAAACATAAAAATAGGGATTCCAATTTATCCAAGAAGGTTCTCTACTTTCTCTGCTTCCTAGAAACTACCGGGGCCTTGAATTGGTAGTACTGAGGAGCATATGATTCAAATTGATACAAACACTTCAAACGTTAACACTATCAACAAAGAACAGCATCCACTTCAGGTAAAAATATCCCAAGCCAAGCAAAGCTTCGATCGTTTCATACCAGACATTTCCACAAACAGCCATGCCTTCCGAAACAGACCACCTCTCTCACTTCTTCAAATCAGAAAGAAATCTCGTGGAAAAAATAGTCAATATCATATTAGAATACAGCAAACTCCGCGACACAGTCAAAGCCAGAGATTTGTCATTGCAAGCCTCGCAAACGCAAATATCACAGCTTGAGGAAGAAACGCTGTGCTTGAGAAGAGTGCTAATAGATTGGCGAAATATGAAGGGCAAGCATCTTAAGGATCCAATTCAGGATTAGAAGCGGTGGAAGAAATGATTAATGGGATAGAATTTATGAAAAATGCTTAGAATGCTCATAGAGAAAGAGCGGACGGGGCGGAGAAAGCATTGAAAAGTGCTTTGGATTCTTAAAGGTATAGGGCGAATGCGGCAGAGAGAGCATCGAGCAGGGATTGTGCCACTCATAGCATAGCGGAGGTTGACCACATAATGTAAAGTGTGACAAAGGTTGACAGGAGTTGTGAGTGGAGATCGTGAAATGGTTGTCTATCAGGTTTTGAACGAGACGCTCTGAACTTTGTGTGGAAGCAAGACACTTTAGCTTGAGCCAGGAGGATTTGAGAGTGCTAAATAGGATCGAATCGTACTTCCTGATCAACCTCGTCAATTTGACTTCTTCCAGTGGAATGTTTGCTTTCATTGCATTACTTCATTACAGTATTCATTGTTGATATATGAAGCCTTCATGAATGGATCAAGCAAAGGTCTTGGCCGTTGACAATGTAGCCGCAATCTTTTCCTCGCTGCTTGAAAAGATAATAGTGCTATGTCGCGATTTCTTGACCATCTTCAGTTTCGATATGCGCTATAGTGTGCACCATATTTTGCCAAGGTATACGTATGTAGAAGCAAAGTTAGAAAACCGACTCGAAGGGTTGTAAAAGAGCTAGCAACAATAATTGATGCCGTAGTATGACATACGTATACCGGAAAATGCCCAGCGCGATAACATAAATTGTACGAACTTGCACCTTATTAGAAAGAGTAATGCCCAGGAAATGAACCCACAAGCCCAAGGCAAGTTATTTATAATCCTCCCAAACTTGTGCCTATTAACCGCCATCTTCGCTTAATATATACATCCAAATAAGCTCAGTCCATCATATCAGCCGGGTGCATGGGAAGCAAAGTGCGCGGGTTGTGCAGTGATTTAATTCCACTCTTCGATTGATTCAACATCATGCACACCTTCAACCCACAGACCCTATGATCATTGGCTGTGAGCTTTGGACATTCTCTCCCTAGTCCTCGAAGGAGGGAAGGTCATTGCGGTTGAACTTCAGTTCCAGTCGTGAACAGGTGGATTGAATGTTTTGATATTTTGGTTTTTGGTTTTTTGGTTGGAAAAGGAAAGATTGAGTGGGTCTTTGAAGGCTGAGGAGATCAATTGAGGTTATGTGATTGGGTATGAGTGTTGTTGTTGTCGTCTCGCTTCGCGGGTTTGTCGTGCTGTGATGTTTTTGCCGTGTTTATACTTCATCACTGTGCCGTGAATGTGATTCTTTTAATTATTAAATGAAGCGTATGGTGCTACTCAAAATATTGGGAGACCTTTGGAGAGGTTGTTTGGTCGCTAAGTGTTTATCAGCGGTTTGAAGCAAGTGAAAAAAAAACAATTTCTATACACAATGTCATGTATTCTGCGATGGCGTCGATGAATGGGTGAGTAAGCTAAATATGATGGTCTGTTCCTTCCTGATATAATATGCGCTATTGTCTTTTGTTACTCAACTATCTGTCACTTAGTAACCATTTATCTTCCTCTCAACCCCCTCGCTTAGTGTCACAGCATGCAAAACTTCATCAAATCATTTTTTCCTTCGCTCAAAATCCGACAAAGATCTCGAAGTTTTGCTCGGCTTCTATTATGGGCTTGTAATAAAGTTAGGATGCTGGAGTAGACTGTGAAATGAGATGTCTACCTGTTTAGGCCTTCATATAGTTGTCTTTACACTACTTAAGTATGAGTAGAGGATGACCTATTCTCACATTTCTGTATCCTCATCATCACTCCAAGCATCTATCTCCAATCCTTCCATTCCATCTATTTCTTCCAACCCATCATCATACAGAACCTCCTCATCCTCCGGCTCCGGCTCAAACCAAAAATCGCATCCCTCATAATAATCCGGATTTCCATTTTCCCAAGCCTCTCTCTTAAGTATACTCCTTAACTCCTCCTCCTTTATCCTTAAAGGTACTGCACAAGTATCTAGATGTTTCTCATAATTCTCATGCACGCTCATAGTTTTCTCTAATACAACTACTTTCCTCATCGTCTCTCTTCCATCCCTTCCTTCTCCTCCTCCCACTCTCAGCCTCATTAATGCGATTTCAAGATCTTTAGTGATTTTCTCTTTGTCATCCGTAGTTTTTTTCTTGGCGCTTTGCGTGTATTGGAGCATACTGCGAATGTGCTGGTAGTTTATTTCTTTGGGGGTGAGTGGACCGATGAAGACTTTAGGTGGGGATAGAGTGTTGGTGAGTGGAGAGTTGGGGTTTGGTTTGATGTCATGAAGTGATGGATACCAATTTGGTGTGATATGAAATGTCATTTCGGGAGATAGAGTGAGCTGGGGATAGAATAAGTGCAAGACTCCGATGGGAGACGGAAGTTGAAGGGGTATAAGGAGTCATATTAAGTGTTGATAAAATTAAAGAAAGATCGAGAATGTTGAAGGACTTTCAGGTTTCATTTCGTAACTATCTCTCTGACTATAGCGAAGGAAAAGAATTTTTGCATACTCATTCTACGAGTAGTTACCAGAAGAAGGTTCTTGAATGAGAGAAGGGGAAATAGATCCTTTCATCTACAACTTAGAAGATCCGGAAAGAAGCCAAACCAAAGTCCTCATTCTAATCAATCTTCAAACCTGGAGATTAGTTTCCCCGAAGAATGTTTGGAGTCTCAAACTTAAAGCATTTATTTGCTCAAACTCAATGTATTTGTTTGCTGAAACGCAAAGTAGTTACCACTCAACTGAAACACAAAATAGACCAGTAGAAGTACTTCCTCCCAACAGAAATTGACATCTGTATCTCATCAAATAAGCTATCCTCAAGATTTTTGACACTCGTTCTCAACACTCGGAGGAAAGAAGGCAATCTCAATCTCATCCTCGTCATCCTCCATCTCCTCTTCCGTCTCCTTTAGCCCTCTCGTCTCCTCCAACTTCCCCAGCCTCTCATCTTCCTTCAATTTCTGTGCCTCAATATCCTCCTCTGGTTGCTCCAGCGTTAACACTTCTTCCTGAATCTCCCTTATCCTTTCCATCTCCAATCCCTGATCCATTTCCCTCTTCTTAACCATTTTCTCATATATCCACTCTGCATCACTCACCAGATCTGCATACTCACTGGCCTCATCATCCTCTTCAGACCTAAGCCGGCGAGAGCGGGGATTATCGTGATCAAAAACAGTATACCTCTCCCCATCCTTCCCTTTCATTATCCTCACCCGATAATCTTGACTCTTCAACTCGGAGTGCGGATTATCCTCCCTCTCTTTCTTCTCTGTTGCTATTTCCGCCTGTAATCTACGCACCGTCGAAGCAGAAAACTTATAGAACCCCTGCCACCCCTCAAACTTCTCTTTATCATCTAGAAGCCTGTGCATAGCTTCTACAGCATTTATTCTTTTCAATCTCTCCACAGCAAACTCTAACCCGATCTCTCGACCCAACATTTCACCCTCTGCTCTCTGAGTCTTTAGAGCTAATTTGCATTGAGATAAAGCATTGTCCACTTGTTTGAATGCCCTTTCCAGATTTTTGTTTTCTTCCTGTAGCTTTCGGTTCTCTTCTTGTAAACTGGAAAGTGTGTCATGTGGAGGAATAATAGGATCTCTCTCAATACGTCCTCTTTCACTGCAGTCCATCTCACGACGAAGATGACTCTCACGACTTTCTCCCTCAAGATTTTCTCTCCGACGACGCTCTCTCTGGATCCGTCTCATATTAGAATACTCGGCAGCGGAGTGAGGTCTGGTTTTGGAGGTGAGTGGCTGTTGTGCAGTAGTTGCAATGTCTGCTGATCTACGAACAAACATGTCAGGTTCTTCATTCAGTCTGAGCACTTTTCAAACAGCTGGACATCGTACCTATTTCGACTTTCACGTTCCTCGTCAACCATAAGTTCGCCCTCCTAAGCGTCAGCTTTCGCACTCAACCCACGGAGAAGGATGAAACAGGATTAATGATGGCTAAATACTTCTAAAAATTCTCCACTGACCAAATCTGGTATGTCTTCATCTTCAGAGTGATCCATCATATCATAAGTATCCAGATTATTCGACGGGACTATCGTGTGAGAACTGGAAAGTTGATGAAGTATACATGAATACATATGGCTTTCTGACAGGTCTATATAGGTAGGCATACATCTTTGACAGGAAGAAAAACCGCAGGCATTAAAAGCCTTTGAAGAATATTTTACAAACAGTTTAGGAGAGACTGGCTCATGATGTGTTCCTTTTGTAAAATTCTTTGTGAGCATGAATGAATAGGCTCCAGATTTGATGGATAATTAGCTATAGCATGAATAATGCAGTAGAAGGAAGTCCTAGAAATAGAAAAAATGTAAAACTGCAAGAAAAAAGAATATTAGAATAATAAAAGGAAAATAAGTGAAAAGTAACATGCATATCCTATTTCATTTGATAAGTCCCTCAAACTTTCTTTGAATGAGAAAAGTCTAATCTCAGTACCCAGCTTGGTAACTCAACAAAGCCAAAGATGACATGTGCTAAATTCATTCCATAATCGCAAGATATGGGTTCAGCATGAAAAACATATCCAATTGTCCATCCTGTGGCATTCTCCTCAATCCCTCAATTTTCGGGATGCTTAACTTCACCTCCCGTATCCTCTTTTGCAATGTCCACCGGAGAATCCATATCCATTTCCTCTGTCCCAGCATCATCAATGGTCAAAGGAAATTCAGGCAACATATCATCCAAATCAACCTCAGGTTCAAGGGGCCGCTCTAGGCCCCCTGAGAGCTCACCCCCATATGCATATCTTTTGTCCTTGCTCTCGCCTTGTCCCTTTCCTTCACGATATTTTTCTTTTCCTCTTCCACTGCTTTTTCAATGCTCTCCATCATCGCTTCTATCCAAGGTCTCTTACCCATCGCCGCCTCACACGCTTGATCGATTGCCTCATCCCAGTCTCTATAAAACCCCCAACGTAGGTCCTTCTCTTCCTCACTCTTCCTTTCCCCTCCCCTGCGCTCCCCATCAGCCCTATTCATTAACTTTCTACCCGAATTTTGCCACGCCTCCAGCGTAGCCTCCTCCATCAAAAGCTTCCGCACATTCTCCATGTCTAATCTTTCCTTGATCTTCGAGATAACAGCGTCCACAGCGAGCTTCGCTTCCACAAGATCAAAAGAATGTAACTCTAAATCAACATTATCAAGCAACTCTGCAGCCTTCTTTTCATGCCAATCAACACAACTTTTCGCCACCTGAAATTCCATTCTTAAATCTTCTTCTTCGACATAGGATTGCTCCAAGGGCTTACTGGGGGATTGCACTCTCGCAGATCGGTAATTTCTTTCAATTCGCTCTAATTTCTCGAGTAACTGGCGACGCTTGTGCTCACGGTATTGTCTTTGTATCCGTCTTAGGCTACTACAGGAAGGCCTGATACTGGATGGTTGTTTGGTAATGGGCGGGTGTTGCAAAGTTGATGGTTGCCGAAGGGCGGACGGCTGCTCCACGATAGCTTCAGGTACAGCTGGCCTAAAAGCAAGCGATCCAGCGTGAGTAGCTAGGGGTTCGAATTGTAGAGGATCGTTCTTCATCCCAGGGATAGTAGCTACAGCCGGCCTATGACCAAGCGGCTCAACTTGAGCGACGCAAACAGACCGTTGTGAGGCATTTTCGGCCGGTGAGATTTCAGATCCGTTGAATGGTATAATCTCGTTGCATTTGATAGGTTCATCCTCCTGATTAACATCATGATTTTGATGATTTTGATTGATCCAACAATGTTCCCAAGCACAATTCTGGTTGCATCAAGCCGAAGGCGTAAGTATATAATTCAGGAGACTCAACATCCAGAAATCACCAGAAATGAAAAGCGAAGAACAAATATCAAGAATGTTCCAAAGGGAAGCCATCCCCAGAATCTTCCATCAACAACCTAGCAAGTATATGATGAGTTTCTGTGCATATTCCGTGTATGGTGAGGGTTTTTAATGATAGTGAAATTATGGACAAGCTGCATTTGTATACAACGCATGTGAATGACCGAAGAAAGAAAAATCTATATAATCTTTCAGTATTAAAAAAATCACATTTAAATAATAAATATATACTTCAACAATTCACGTACTGACTGAAAGTAATTATTAAATAAAGTATAATATATATAATATTTAATATTCATTTTATTATTTATATTCTTAAGTATTTGATATTTAAATTTATTAATATTAATTTATATAAATTATACATCTCATTTCTTTTCAATCTTAAGATAATAAATATTATTTACTTATCAAAATATCAAAACTTCATGGTTTAATATTAATAATGTTTTGTATTGTGTATATGTATATATATTAACCCGTCCGTGTGCTTCTCACAAAGAGTATCATAAGTGTACACCCTCTCTTCAAAAGCGAAAATCCAACTCCGTCCCAGTTATAGATATATTCCCAAAACCAAATATATATCCATATCCATACCCTCTCCATATCACCCAACCAAGAAGCCCTTCAAACCCCCTAAAACCACCCGAACATCCTTCCCTCCACCACCGCACTCCCCTCACCCTACTTCTCCCAACCCCCTCTATTCCCCACCACCACAACCACCAAACTAGTCACCATCAGCATCCCCGTAATAAGCGCCACAAGAGCAATACTCCCCCTACTAGCCGGAAACTTTCCCCTAATAATATAAAACTGGCCTTCGAAATATCGATGAAAACCTACCGAGAGCATCAAAATGGATATACCGACGAAAGTTGCGCCGAGAGGTTTGCCGAGGTGACGGAGATGGTTTCTGGGATCTGAGGGGTTGGATGGGGCGTGGCTGGAGGAGGAGGAAGAGGTGTTGAGGCGGAAACTAGGGGTGGATGTTAGTGAGGGGGCATATATAGGCAGGGGACGAAGCAGGAAGGGATGGAAAGAAGGGGAGAAGGGAAGGAGACGTACAGTTGAGTGATAGCAATTCCAATACTAGCGAAAGCGAGGGAAGTTCGTAACCAAGCTAAAAATGTCCTTTCTATCCACAGCCTCTAGTCAGCAATCAACAAAACCAAATCATCGACATACTAATCAGCAAACACAAATGTATGACAAAAGTATCACGCGCCAACCGATAACAAAATTAGCGATAAAAAGGAAACGAAGTACAAACCAAGTGCCAAATGATCTCTCGCAACACTCCCCTTATTCTCCAACTCAATACTTCCATATTCTTCTACCATTCTCTCCCACCATTTTCCAATCTTTCCTTTTACCTTTCTTCTATGTTCGATTTCTCCCATATTATCGCTATTCACCCGTCTGTTATTATTTGCTTCTCTCTCAGCCTCGGTCCCTGAAAATACTCGTCCTCTTCCTGTTCCCAATAACCCTCCGCTCTTATTTGGATCGTTTGTTCCAGACTTCCTTTTCATACTATTATTTCCATTAGTCGTATCCGCGGTAATGGATGAAGCGATTCCGACACCAACACCTCCATAATTTATATCTGATCTTCGTCGCAATACACTCGTTTCTTCATCTGCGCTACTTTCGCCTCTACTTTCTCTGCCATTTGTATGTTCAGTCCCATTTCCATTTCCATTTCCATTCCCAGTCGCATATTCTCTTCTGTCAGAATTTTGACTCTCATTGTTATTTCCTCCCTTCGCAGAGCTTGTACCCTCATCCCCATCCCCATTATCCATCATAACCTTCCTACACCTAGCCTCTTCCAAAATACTATCAATCCTCTGTCTCTTTCCTGCTTTAACCCTTTGACTTCCTCTGCTGCTAGCAAAATCACAGGGGCTCCCACTTCCACCTCCACTATCAATCCTCGTCACTGGATTTAGAGTTTGTCCACTTGTATATATATTCTCTCCCTCTCTCAACTCACTATTCGCATCCAAAGTATTCGAATCCGACGCACCCAATCTCAATTGCAACGTATCCGTCGAACGAGCATTTGCATTTGCATTTGCATTCGCATTCGCATTAAAATCCGTCCGAACCCCACGCGACCTTGAATATCCCTCCCTTTCCCTTTTCCTTCCATCCACATCCACATTCCCATCCCCATCCAAATCCCTTGTACCCATCCCAGCCATATCGCACAAAGAAACCAGACGTCCGTCTCTAGTATATCGTGTCCCGTCTTGCCTCGTCTTATCTTATCTCAATCGCACAATTCTGTATCTGCGAACCCGCGAACCTGCGATTCTAGAATTCGCAACTCAATTGCCCAATTGTCCAATTGTCCAATTGTCCAATCACCCCAATCGTCGTAATGTAAGGCTAATTCGAGTCCAATTGTTCAATTATCCAATCATCCAATTATCCAATCAATAACCTCCTTATACAGCCTTCGTCGTAACCGTAACCGTAACTAGAACTGTAACCGTAATCGTCTTGTCTTTTTGTCTTTTCGTCTCGTCTCTTTCCCACAGCTAGCTAGCTTATCCACCGGACCGTCCGTACCTTGCCTTCCCTCGCCTCGCCTCGCCTTGCGCAGATCAAATAAATGCACCTAAAAATGTCGTGCTCTCTCTCTCTAACCCAAATCCCAATCCCAATCCCAAACCTCAAAAACTTCAAAGACTTCAAAAATCTAGAAGTTTACCTAGTAAGTACGTCAGATAAATCTGCCAGGAACCCTTCAAATACTTTATCCTACTTTCAAATACTAGATCTCACTCACTTACTCACTCACCCACTCACTCAACTCGATCAATCGGTGTGCGTGTGCGTGTGCGTGTGCGTGTGCAGCAGCAGTCAATTGCGGTGCGGGGTTCCGCTCTTTGTTACTTACTCAGGTACGGTGCGGTATGGTATGGTATGGTATGGTATGGTATGGTATGGTATGGTATGGTATGGTATGGTATGGTATGGTATGGTATGGTATGGTATGGTATGGTATGGTATGGTATGGTATGGTATGGTATGGTACAGTACAGTACAGTACAGTACAGTACAGTATCCAGTTTACTCGAGTGAATAAAAAATAAATCAAACAGGATAGATAGATAGATAAATAAATAAATAAATAAAAAGGTGGTTGTATTTGTTTTCCATTTATAGAGGAAAGGGTATTTGACTTTTCATAGACTTACTTCATAGACTTCAGAGACGATAGTTGACATGCTGATATTGATCTATTTATTCTACTGGTCAATATCATGAATAAGTGACCTCATCGCTCATATTCACCACATTCAATTAAAGACAGCCATTTCAAATACTAATAAAGATTCAAGAAATTTCCAAAATTCCAAAAAAAGATTTAATTTGTATACACGAAAAAGGCCACACACTTCATCTGATTATTCTATTTAGCTGTTTTTTTATTTTCTTTTCTCAAAATATCTCATCATCTTTCTTGAAAAGGTAGAATAAGTAGAGTGTAACAGATCTCCTTTTTCCTCGTCTTTGTGTTGTGCCGACTAAACTACTTGTATTGATACATGTACCATATTTCGCAGTCTATGTCGTCAAGTTTGCCATTCACATCCACATAAAACAAGCCTCACTAGCTCTCTACCATGTCTCCCTTGAAGGAAGACATGGCGACAAATCCCAGATCCGTATGCGCTCCGTCCAATTATTTTGTAGCCAGTATGAAAACATATGCAAGAGTGCCTGCGGCAAATTGATAAAAGGCCGTAGGGATAGAGGGGCACTCTGTACCAGGAGCACGTCTCCTTCAAAATGCGTAACAGATACGTAGAAGAGTTAACCAAGGTGATCGCTTCAAAGGAAAGAAGGCTTTCCCGTCGTCATATGAACATTCATCTGCTGAGAACACAACTTTTATTCCACCCACCACCTCCAACCCACAAGACATTCATCCATGCCTACACAACATTCGGAGCGTTGTATTCCAACGTCCAAATACCTTCCACTTCAATAATGTAAAAACATTAGCGACATTGATTACAAAAGGAAAAATTGCCACACGAAGTATATTCAGAGACCAGATGGAAAGGGTATATTATTGACAAGTTTGTTCGAAAGTTGCAAGTGGAGCGTAGGTTCGAAGATCCGAGGCTTAGAATAACTTGAGGGCGTGTAAAAGAAAAACTGACTGCAACGATCATAAGTTGCAATCATGGTATGCGCGCGAAAAGAAAAGAGTATGTGCACCAGAAATTTTGGAAAGGAAATCGAGGACGTCAAGCGTCTATGAGAAGACGTATGTGGCAGTACCACCTGGGTTAACGGAGACCTAAAGAATTTGTTAGCTAACAACCCACCACTTCTTGCGAATAAATTAACTTACGGTGCAGCCTGTTGAGGACACAACACCATTGTTGTAGTATGTCCCAGAGGAGTAGGAACATTTTCCGGAGACATCACCTTCGATGGAGATGGTAAAGTCCAAGGTGCCGTAAGTGTTGGTTGGGGTGTTGGGAATGATTGACAACCAAGTGTTACCAGAAGCATCTTTACCAACACCAGCATTGACGGGAGCCCAGTTACCGACATTTCCACCTTGAGTACCCCAAACGCAAGCTTCATTGATGCCAGTCCCTTGTGGGTTAATGTAGTATTGTGCAGAAGTTGGTAGTCCTTCCCATGAGTAGTAATCGCTGGCATCTGGGCAAGTCAAATCGTAGGTTTGACCAGGAGAGGTAGACAATGGAACGGTTTCAGCCTCAAGACCAGGGTAATCAGTGCGGCAAACAGCAACAATGCTGCCGAGCTTGTTCTCCACCTTGACAGATCCAGATCCAGCGGTACAGAGTTGTTTAACAGAAGGTCGGGACAATTCAAGCTTGCCATTGGCGTTGCAGTAAAGACCACCGATCGATTCGCCGGTGCTCCCTTGTGCGGAAGGCCATTGAGATTTCTGGTACCCAGCTGGGCAGGCATAGGAGCAGAACGCACCCTTAACACATCCACCGCTTGTCATGGTGTTAATGGTTACGATTGAAGAAGCAGAGGTGGTGTAACCAGGGGTGCTTTGAATACCGATCCATCCATTCAAGCCGAGGTAGTCAACGTGAATTGCACCATACTGAGATGGGAAAGTGGAACAAGAGATTTCGCCATTTGGGAAGTCGTCCCAGTTGCCGGAGCTGCTGGAGCTGCTGGATGTGGGAACAGAAACCGCAGATGTGGAGGACTTGGAAGCGGCAGTACTTGATTTAGATGCCGAAGTCGAAGTTGAAGTCGAGGACGATGATGACGATGATTTGGAAGAAGATGAAGAGAACTTCTCAATAAATTCTGCGATAGGCTTGGTGGTCGAGCTGGGGGCAGGCGTAGGGGTGGTCTCAACAGCAGGAGTGGTTGCGGCAGCAGGAGTGGTCTCGGCAGTAGGAGTGGTGGTTGGGACGGGCGGAATTGAACCAGTAAACCAGTTAGTAGCAGATGGTGCATCAGCGAGTACCTGATCTCCGACCAAAACGTATTTTCCAGATGCCAATCCAGCTTGGACTTCGGCCAGAGAGATGTCCTTTCCATTGAGCATGTAGACCGTCTCGATTGGGCCTGGCATGACCTCTGTCACCGAAACAACAGCATTCTCACGTACGACCTTGTTTGCTCTAGCTGGGTGACGATGTTGATGATTGTGAGGTTGCGCAATTGCAACACCCGCAACGCTCAAAAGCGCAACTGAAACTGGGGTGAACCTCATTCTGAAGGGAACTCTTGCGATATGGATAGACTAAAGGTTTTCTTGATTCCGAACTTTGAAGACTCTTAATATATCGATTGGATGTGAAGCGCAATCACAAATGTAAATATCTCGGTGGGATAGAGAGAGAGAATTTGGTCGTCGTCGAGGATCGAAGTTGACTTCAAAGTTGAAGAGAAGATATTAGCGTTCAGATCTCTAAGATGCGACAATTGACAACAAATCTTATTGAAAGGCGAGGTGAGGTCAAATAGTAACAACGAATGACTGACTCGACCAACAGGGAAATAAGATTTCAATGGGGAACAGTGGGACGGTGAATGAATGGAAACACGAGAGATTCAATTACATACATACCTTGGCTTAGGTTCAATCGGACTTAATTTCGAAGATTCACTAACGTCTTTTTTTCTTCTAGGATTGAGAATAATTTGTAGGGGGAGAGATGGGACAAATTGAGGTAAAGTCGCTTTGAAAGGATAATGAATTTCTGAGGGTTGATTTTGATTTTGAGTATTTGTTTTGATGTGTTGAAATTTTAATTGATTTTTGGAGGAAGAGAGAAGTTTTTTTCGATTTTGAGATAAAAGTCGCTGTTCCAAATGAATGTGGTAGAGAGTTGTTTATTTTGGTTATGATAACAACTCTCAGTTGGGAGGGAATGCTTTGAAAAAAAAAAAGAGGGTTGATGGATGAGGTTGGGTTGAAGGGTGTGAGGTGTGAGGTGTGAGGTGTAAAAGGGAGAAGTATCGCGGAAAAAGAGGAGACTACAAATTTCAAGGGCAATCGCAGAATAGTATAAGAAAAATAATAAAGATGGAGGTAGACGTGGCTGTGGGAACGAAAAGCAAGAAGGGTAAGAAGGGAAGGGGTGAATGATGGGTGATGGACCACTCAGCGTCCAGGATTGAAATTAGATTCAGGTACAAAATAAATAGATGAACCAATGAGAGTGCACGGAGAGTGGGTGGGGGAGGGTGGGTACACTAGAGGAAAGATCCTAGCTGGGTGCTCTACCTCCTAGTGTGTGCTTAGCGTTGAGCTTAACCTTGTCTAGTAATAAATATCATATTACCATATTATCGTATTATTAGAGATGAACTCAAACATCCAATGGGGGATTTATATGGGAGATTTCATTCTGGACCTGGATGTGCAGCATGGGTTAGGAGATTCAAGATTGGCCTGGTCGCTAATAGGTAGTCAGGTAAATGTATTTTTCGACCATACCTGGATTGTTTGTGTAGGTAGGATCGGATCCAAGATCTGGAAATGACTATGATTCTATCTTTTTCATGGTGAGTTGTTATAGTTTTGGTGGGTGAGTAGTGAGTAGTGAGCATTGAGCATTGAGCATTGAGCATTGAGCATTGAGCCGTGAGCAGTGAGCAGTGAGCATTGAGAGTGAGCATGGAACAGCACCCAAGTGCCTAGATGTTTTACCGAGTAAAAGGAAGGATATGATAGAGATGGCAGCGATGGTAAAGACGATCTATCTACGGTCCAAAACACTAGAATAGTCAGAGTCACCTTAAATAACATTGTACCAAAGAATCAATGATATTCTCGTACAAATCTTAAAAGGTCTGACCATCGTGACTATAACAACATGATTAATTTCCCTTTGAAGCTTTAAGCTTGATTACTGATAGATCGATAACCAGTATCTTGAATCAAGATATTCTGACTGACTGACTGACTGACTGACTGACTGACTGACTGACTGACTGACCGACCGACCGCATGCTGAGTACGGAGAGTAATGATAATAATAATAATAAATAAATGACACAGAGCCCAGACAAACCGACAGACTCACTCACTCACTCACTCACTCACTCACTCACTCATTGCTCATTGCCAAATGCTCAATGCTCAACTGCGCAAACATTATTCATCTGTGCATTACACCGACACATCCCCACTTCACTCAACCCAAGGAAACATACTCTACATCTAGTCTTCTTCTCTCCTAAACCTCTAATCTCGGCTATTCCACCGACGGCTATGTTAGATGAAGAGCACGTATACGTAAACCCATTGAGCACCAGCAATAAATATCTCCAACCACTCCATCAAATCTTCCCACTCCCATATCTGCGAGAGAGTAAAGAATCTTGGAAGTTGGAAGTTGGAAGTTGGAAGCTGGAAGCTTGGAGAAAGACGCCAGAGACCCTTCCAATATTCGGTCTCGGGATGACCTTTTACCTTTCACCCTAGACTAGAACCAAAAGTCCCGTGCTCTGGTTTCATCTTATTTCTTAGGTCGGTACAGTAGGTAGGTAGGTATTCAAGGAACATTCCTCAAAATGCCATTCAGGGAATGCGAGTGAGGAATTTTTTGTATTTTTTATATTTTTTAAAATTCTTTTTCTTTTTTATATTTTAATTTTGCCGCTGAGCTTGCCTGCCATGCCTGTGAGTTAATAGACCCGGATCAGGTACCTAGTAGTTCATCCCATGCCAGCCTGGTATCGTTTATGTGATTCGTTTCGTCCCAAGATATGATACTCCGTACGTTTGTGGTCCTGACCTCGGAGGAAGTAGTGGAATCTGGAATCGGGATCACCGTTCGCAACTCAGGGGTACCGGTTCAATACCCCCATCCATCTGTCTAACCTTTTGAAGACAAGACAGGAAAGACCTCATGATTTTAAAGTCTCGCCAATTCAACCATTCAGCCAATGCAATTAACTCCATCTGTGATGCCCGTCAAAGATAACGAGCACGGTAGATAATATTTGCATGTCGTGATCTATGTAAGTAAGTAAGTAAGTATGTATGTATGTATGTATGTATGTATGTATCTTTATATGTATACATGTATGCCATGTTCTGGACATGCACTTATTTGTTTGAAAGTCGTGGCTCATGACGAGTCTCAAATTTTAATCTCATCACAACATGGCAATAGGTGGTCAATAGTGTGTTTTTCAATGGTGGGGTTCGTGGGTGATGGATGGGATGGCATGAGGACCACGATGAGTCTGTTCAAAGGGCATAAAACATGTGGTAGTGAGGGATTTGGCGGTTCAGAATTGAGGGTCTTTGGGAGTGGTGTGGCACAGTTGATGAAAAGCGGATGAAGAAAAAGTCAATAAAGATACTCGCTCATCCTCTTCGTATCACGGCTAAAATCCTTATGATCCTGCCTCAACTGCCTCAACTGCAGCAAGTGTCGTACGGCAGGATCATTCCGTTACACTTAACACACTTATTAATATTATTCATGGATGATTCGAACACACACGGCAGAATCTTACTCGTTATCCCTGATTTATCAACGTTATTCAGTCATTTAAGATATCGACGTATAATCTACATCTCCACGTTGCTATCACAACCTCCAAACTGTTTAACTGTTTAACTGTTTAACTGTTTTTCACCCGTCCGCCCGCCCGCCCGCTTGATGAGTCGTGATGATGTGCAACGTAACTTCCACATTCATCACGCATCCGACATGGGCCAGCCCCAATCGATACAAAATAAATTCGGGATTTTATCTCAGATCCTCCACTTCCAACTCCCCAATAAAACCCCAAAGGTGGCAAGAAACATCCAGACCTCAATTGCACATCAGATCGACAACAACAAATCTAATTCTCTCGTATCCTCATTTTTCATTTCCTTTATCAGAAATTTCAAACCCTGAACATCGCGCTATTAATCATTCACCCGCCACTGGCTTTTGATTCTTAAAAACGGCGCAGATAGATAGATAGAACGATACGACAGAATGTAGAATAGAATCTACTCGTGCGACGAGAAAGTCTATCACACATTCCTACTCAGATATTCTTAGTTAAAATTTGCGGTAGGGCTATTTAATCTATCAGAGGTTAAGTTCTACAAACTTGCAAGATCTTACTAGATATAATAACATTTTAGAGTATGTAGATTGAATAACCCTCCGTAGATGAATATTCAATCTGTTCTTCTATCCTTCTATCCTTCTATTCTTTCGTATAGAGCAAGTACGAACTCCCAAGCAATAAAAGTGGAATAAGAGAAGAAAAAAATCAATCAATGGCATTCCATTAGCTACCTCCATACCGACCTACATCCAATAAACTTTTCCCCCGCCAACTCTAAACTTTCCAGCCACACAAAATAAAGTATAAAGTAACAAAGTAGCAAAGATACGGGCTGAACCGTCTCATCTCCTCTCGTCTCGTCTCGTCCACGCCCGCCTTGGAAAGTTAAAAGCTGTCTTCCACCGCTGCTTCTTGGCATACAGAGAAGAGAGCTCGAGAGACCTTTACCCCTGACTATATTCAGGCACTGCATTATTATTCGTTGTTTGCATTATCCTGTACCACATTGATTGCATTGTTTGTATAAAGCTTATGCTGCCAACAGCACACTTGTGCAGATACACTGGTGGTATCCACAGAGTAGAGGGTTGATTTGATTGTACAACGTTGAAACAAGCTACAATGGTGAACTCATAATCGTTGGAGCTTCATATAAAGAAGGAGAGAAAGAGAATAACTTCAAGGAAACCAATATACCACTTTTGATTCGTAACCCTGTTTAAACAAGCTGACCTTAAGCATTCCATAATCGGCCACGGTCCATTGATTTTAAGTTGTACGGTTACATATCCGATCGGCCCGCTCACGTGCCTCAAGCGAGAACGATGTTCTTAAGGTTCCTATCCCCTCTCACGACCGAAAGCTTCACCTTAAATCACCTACTACTATTACTGTAGCCTCTAACTAACATCAAAATAAAGCAAAGAATATTTGCGCAAGTGCGTTTGTTGATCTTTGTGTTCGTGTTCATGTTTGTGTTGGTGTTTGTCTCTTCTGGTATTCTCGTATGTTATAAACTCATTCTTGCGGCGAGTCTTGTTCGAGGAAATGCCAGACGATAAGTTAGTCTGCCTCTCGACATTGGCGTCAAGTCGGCTTCTTCTTATATCTTCATATATTGTTAGTTGTAATTAGGTTGTAAAGCCTACTGGTGTTCAATTTACCATCTTGCGGTTACTAGGTTTATACTCATCGCTGGTATGCGCTACGAATAAGGCATATTTACCTGGTTACCAACATCCTATGCTAAGTTGCTAAGGGAGAAGAATGAGGTAAATATTCAAGACGAAGTGCTAAAGCCATCATCATGAGTCTCATGCGAGCCCTAAACGTTAATATCCTGCCTGCTACTTGCCGAGATGATACAATTGTTATTATTACTATACATTCTGAATGCTCACTCTCAAGCAATATCAAAAGATACCCCGCAGCTGAAGTCAACCCACGTTCTACATTCCACATTCCTTATATCGATTTATTCACATTCTCATCTCATATGTTTACTCCTATCGATAAACAAACCCAAATGTCTTGTAAATTCCAATATACCAGGTTTTGGGGAATTGTGGCAAATTATCCGATAAGGCTGTATGCTGGTCGCTCAGGGTTAGATTTGATATTTGTCCCAATTCTCAATGATGTACAATTTACGTCGGTGGCTGTGAAACCTGTAAATTCATCATTTTCTGGCCGAGTGTGGTAAGATTTTTTATAAGATGTTGAAATTGGCTGAACACATTAAGAATTATTTACGGTCTGCTGACTGTTGCTTAACAACCATTTCCTCACTCGAGTTTAAAAGTGTCGGTTAATTTCTATTTTGCCTTCTATAAGATAAATAATCAATCAATGTGATACAGAAATGGGTTAGTGATTGCATACCGTTAGGTCCATCATACTGCTTTTCTTGAGCTTCTCATAACCTGAAAATCTATACGTATCGTGTCGTTATATCTTTGCTAGTATTGATCTCATCACTAGATCTCGGACAGCGAGGTGTATCTGGGCTTTTAATCAAGCCTAGGCTTGTACTCACCATCCTTGTGAGTTTAATACAGAGCTATTATAACGGTAAGACAAACTTGGACCTTCATTTGGAATTTTTCCGTTAGGTAATTTGCGTATCATGGTGTATACATACGTCATCATTATAACTGTTGGTTAGTTTTCTTAAACTGTATCATTGATCAGCTCTCTCCCATTTGGAATCACCCGGGTTTGGTTACAGCCTAGAAAGAGAAAAGAACTTCTTATTTGTCTGAATATTACCCAAGATACCTACCTATCTACCTAAGTAAAACCAGGATGGGACTGTCAGAAATAGTAATTATGATGACAAATACACTCACTATATGCACAGCGCCCAGCTAGATTAATATCGTTCAACTCTAACAGGGACTCCTTGCCTCAATTCCGGGTAGCCTACTGAATTATCACACATTCATTTGTATGGTCTCCCATTCTTTCTTTCTTTCTCTCAAGCAATCTAACTCCAGACACACCAAATATAAAAGTACTTCCTAGAAAAACAGCGACACCGGCTTTAGTTGGGGCAAGTCAACAGTTTCAGATATTCAAAGTGCCTGTCTATGTTGTAGTAGATCCTCTACTATAAATGATTTTGAAAAATTCGATTTCTTTTAACATACAGGTAGGTGTGACCGGTTATTCTTCTTCGTTGTTTTGTCCAGTTTGTTTATTATAGTAGCATATTGGCGAGTGTGTTTTTTTAAGAATGGAAGGGTAGCGTGTAGAGGGCTCTGGGGGTGGTCTTCAACTTGTCGAGTCGAGGTGGGTTCATTCTTAATTTTTTAGTATATATAATATAATTAATCATTTTAAATATTGAAATAAATGTTTGTAGAATTATTTTATTATTGATATTTTTTTATATTTTTTTAATCTCAGGCCACAGTCTTGCTATAGATAACAATCAATCTATCGTCCAGACGATCCAAATCGTTCTCTACTACGAAACCAGTCCCCACATCTCATCAACAAGCCCAATGGGGGAATGAAAGCGGCTGCCATCAATGCTAGAACAGTATTACCCCAGCCAAACCCAACGCTTTGATATAGAGGAGGGCCGATTAGTGGCAGAAAAGCCCCAGCAATCGCTCGGAAAATTACACTAGCAGCTATAGCAGGTGCTCCATAGATCTTGTAGATATCCACCACGTATGTTTCGACCGTTATAGTGGAAATCGTTATGCTGAATCCCGCAATACACGTTCTGATGAGCAGCACAATGTATTGAACATGAAATTCCAATGCCCATCCGTAGATGAGGAAGCCCCGAGGAAGAATAATTGCAGCACCAAGTAGATATACCAGCCGAGACTCCGGCTTGAATGCGTTGCACTTTTTTTCCCGCTGATGAATCACGTAGCGATCGGAAGTGAGACTGTAGAAGATCAAAGTGATGGTGTTCCCGATGGCGAGATTTAAAAAATGTTAGCCCGATGGAGCCGCTAGAAAACACGGTCGGGTACGTCGATTCCATGGTTTCAGTGAGTGTGGCAAGGATCAACGAGACTAAGGCGTATGTTGCGGCCATGTAGCTCGTCGCTAGCATGAGGATAGGAGACTGAGCCAGGATCTGCATCGGCTTCATAACGTTTTCGAAAATGGTAGATGCATCAACACGGGCTTGATGTTTAGAACGATACTTCTTATCATTCACGCTTTCCTTTTATAATTGCTCCGCCTTCCGCTTTAGAATGACGACCGCGTATGTCTCGCGGAGCACGACCAGTAAGAACAAGCTGAAGAATCCGAGTACGATGGCCGCCAGCCAAATCGACCATCGCCAACCCAAATCCTGAGCAATATACGCTCCTGCAATAGGTGAGATAAAATCTACTATCATCTGAGTTCCTATGACGAATGCCATGCTCAAGCTGGTATGTTCTATTTGGAACAAATCCCGACGATGGCGAGCCCAAGGGTAAGAATCGACAGAAGCAGCCTGCTAAGGATCGGAACGCAATCAAAATGGGAATATTCACGCTCAGCGCGCAGGCAATCAAGCAACAAAGCGCGAGAAAATTTGCAATGTGGAAGACGAGAAGCCGGCCGAATCTTTCAGAGAGCGGCGCAATGAAAAACGGACCAATTCCTTCCCCGAGCTCCCAAATCGTGACGAGCAGGGTCTGATCGAGCGTACTACGCGAATGGAATTCATGCAAGATCTGCGGTGCCGTGGGCATGATCGACATTGTTGAAAAGACACTAATTCAGTCAATCGACGACTACGGCAGATACACAGAGACTGGCGAGAAGAAAAAAAGGGACGCTCACCTAACGAAACCCATCCACGACACACCAAACACAATCAGCCATTTTTGTGTCGGCGACCAATTCAAAGAATTTTCTGGGTCGTTCTCCTCATAGTCCACGAGGACGATATCTGGATTGCTATCCCCGATGGGAATTTCCAATGACTGTTCGACGAACTTTTCATTCTCGCTTCTTCCCGCCGCAGCAATAATCTCATTTTCTGAGAAGTTTTGCAGCTCGACTGGAGATAAAATGGGGACTGGTTTGGTGAGAGTCATGTCGATAGAAGACATCAATGACAAGTTTGTGGTGTATGCAAATTGTATTTATATATTCAATTGCTAAGAGAGCAGCAGCAGGAAGAGGTAAGCTTACATTCATTACATTACGAAATAAAGCGAAATTTCAAAGCTCTTAAGTATATAAAAGTGCATCTCAAATATCTAGGCTTGTACATACTACACGGGGACCTGTTATCTAGACGTACAGCCAACAGTTGCTAGTTTTTGCCTAGCGTATACCTAGATTTTTAAAATGCATCTCTACTTCTGTATGATAAGCATTGTGGCGCGGCATTATACACGGCTAAGATAGCACTAACTATCAGCCAGATATAGATATACATATTGCAGAAGAATTCTCAACTAAAGATCCTTACTATCATATCGGTTGGCTAGCGAAAGCATCTACCCATTCTCAATAGGGTTTAGATTAGATCAGAATTGACAAGAACAGGCAGCAGATTTGTATGGAAGAGTCCCGTATGTAACCGTTCCCGTAAGATTTCCTTGGGGAGATCCTAAAGAAGGAAGTATTGAAGGGTTTGAGGGTGAGGATTGCATCTAACGGGTGAACTTTCGATCCTGCGTTGACTCGTCTATTCCAGCGTGTGCATGCATGTGACTCTCGAGGCATCGATCGTGTAATCTTAATTTTTAAATAGGAGAGTGGTGGTTTAGTCGCCAATAGGTGTATAGACTGACAGACTGGTCTGCCCTATAAGTAAACCATAAGCCATAAATCATAATAAAAATTAATTATTTAAAATTGAATTAAAATCTAAATTTATAATATTTTTGATTGGAATTTCAAGATGGAAAAAATCAATTAAAGAAATATAATACATTTTAAAAATATTTGTAAAATAATAATTTTGATAATTAATTTTATTATTTATTTTTATTTTTATAAAAGATCAAAATCTGAATTGAAATAATTAATAATAATAATAATAATAATAATAATAATAATAATAATAATAATAATAATAATAATAATAATAATAATAATAATAATAATAATAATAATAATAATAATAATAATAATAATAATAATAATAATAATAATAATAATAATAATAATAATAATAATAATAATAATAATAATAATAATAATAATAATAATAATAATAATAAGTTTTAATTATTAAAATAAAATTTACTTGATTCTTTTTAATTATTTTAATATTTTTTTGATTACTTCTTTGCACTCCTAATAAAAATTTCAATAAATCTATCTCTTTCTACATTACAAAATAAAAAAGGAAGAGAAATCAATACCACTGCTTTCGGAAAAATTAATCAAGATGATAAATGTTATACTTTTATTTCTTCCTAGGGCCAGCCTATTCATGGTTTAATTTCAGAATTTTACTGATTTCAGTTATCACTCCTAGCAGTTTCTTATCAATAGCTTTGAAAATAAACATTAAATGAAATACAAGCCAGGTCTGTAATCTCGGGCAATCAGATGGTTGAACATGCCTCCCTCGCTCTATCAAAGGCCTAGACGGAAGCATCCTCCTCGACATGTTAGATTGGGTTGCAGAAGAAAAGAAGATATCATAGAAGGAGATTAAAGGAGATAATAGGTTAGAAGGCATGGAGAATAGTAGACGGAGAGATGGTTTGAGATTAAATTGTACACCAGTGGTAGGAGATGGTGGTCCACTTCGCAGGCAAAACAGCTATATCAGGATAGCTAATAGACTACGATTTGCAGATACCTTCCGACATGAACGGGAGGAGTTCTTACTCACAAAGATCCCTTATGACTTCCTAGTTAATGTTTATACACAAAAGAAATCTCCGTATGGCTCATTTGAATAACTGTACAAATATCTTGAACCAAAAAAATGAAATTACTACTACCATACATCATGAAGCCTTTCTAAAGGTTCTTCGATTATCATCCTGATAATTGAGCTTAAGGTCCTCCTAAAAAAAAACAAATTAAAGTTAAAGCAAAAGAAAAAAAGGAGGGAAGGAAGAAAACATCATAATATCGAAAGGTTTGGTGAGAACGTTAACAATTTCCCCTGCCCTTGCTCGTAGCATCGCATTTTGAACCCTTCGTTGAAAGAAAGTTGAAGTTTATAGCTTATTGTAGTATGTAGACCAAAGAAAACATAGAATTTGAAAGACGAAGGGTCTAAGTAACCCTCAATCATTGATACTGTGAAGTTGTTCCATTCCACAGAAGCCATTTCTTTAAACCTTCACCAGGCCAACCACCATCGCAATAGTAGACCCATTCATTTTCTGGGGAGCTAGAGGTATCTGAAACGAGAGTTGAATCGGAATACAATGAGTAGGTTCTCGTGGCGTACGTATAGTACCATGTTCTCATCGGGCTCGCGGGTGTACTGGACTGTGTATTGGTAGCCGAAGAAGAAGCTATCAGTGTGGGCCTAGCGGAGCCACCAGTCAGAGTGAGCCCCCTTGACCTGGGGAAGTTGCAACAGGTGTATATTATGCTTGTGGAATAGCAGATGTTGTTGAAGCGCCAGTCAATGCATTTTGAGCCTCTCTCTTTGCCGCAGCAAAGAAGTTATATATTTCGGTAGCATCACCAGCCTTTCCAGCATCTTTATAACTCTCCATATCTGCAGACTCAGTGCTGCCCCAATAAGGACGGAGATCAATATGGCCCCCGTTCAACACAACAGTCCAAGCTCGAATCTTTGTTCCACATGCAACTGCACCATATACTTTGGGTCGATGTGCCAATACTTCTGGTGAAAAAGTATCGCCTACAAAATCATAAAGTTGTTCTTCCATCTCCTGAATAGAGCGAGGAGTTCTGCTGTAACGCTTACATTCTACCATAAGTAGAGTGATAGGGCGGAATTCGGTGTCATAATAACGAACTATGATGTCTACAGTTTTTGTTGTGTCATCCATGGCCAGATGCAGTTGCCCATTCACAACAATACCATCAGTCGCCATATAGTCGTTGAGGATATCCTGCCACAAAGGAACCGTAGCAAACTCTTGTTTTTCGGGATCGCTAGCTTCGAGATAGGCACCATGCAACGCCCACGTGTTGATAAGTCCATGAGGTTCAAAAGACATCTGTGGCTTTCTTAGTTCATGATGAATTTAAAATTTGGTATATCGACGTACTTTGTTGACCTAAGAAGATGTGGTTGTGAAATATCCTCCTGTCTGAGTGTATTGAAAGGTAGAATAGGATATATGATAATTCTGCAGATAAAATGAGGTGGTGGAAACGGGTATGTTCTCCAAAGAATTCAGCAAAGGAGTTGAAATTCCCTGTTGAAAACCATAGCCTTCAATCGAGGTCATAACAGTAGTCATGGTTTGTTGTGACTGAAATATGCCGCAGCTCTTCACCAAGATGTAAAGGAAAATTGTTCCGCACCAACTTCAAACGAGTCCAATATTAGGCAAAGAATGATAAGAGTCTTACGATGCCGCAACCATTAGCAGTACATTCATCATCGCACTGCATTATGCCTTCAATTGCAACGTTACCTGCCACTCCTCATTACCCCTCAACTGAAGAAAAATCCACTCACGTTTCGGGCAATGCCAAGAAGGGGCACCGCATGGCATCTAGAAGCACGAATCAGCACCTTGAGTAGAAAATCAAATCTACTGTTAGATTTGACGCAATGTAGCCAGCCACCTTTCGGGTCTGCTTGAAACAGAACAAAATATTATCTCACTTTCCAAGAGCGTTTTAAATAATATAGGGTCATCTTTTTATTAAAAAGTTATTAAATTTTTTAATCCTTTTTATAAATCATAATTGATTAAAATTAAAACTTTTTATATTTTAATAAAAATATATCATAAATTATAAAAGTTTTAAAATTTATTAATATATATTAAAAATCTATATTTAAAATTTTACAAAAAGATAAAATAAAGATATAAACTACGATCAGTCAATCCTTTAAAGCAGCAACCTCACGGATCTCGAGTTTTAATATATTCTCTCTAGTTATATCCAGAAGCCATATTCATAAACAAGTCTGTCGTACCCCTAGATCATCTAATCAATAACCTAAGACAAGTAGAGAAATTGGCCTGTTCGGGAATAGTATTAGTATAACCATATCACTTTTTCTTTAACTTTCCGATCGACGGTCGCCTTGAGGCAATTTGCTTTTTCTATCGGTAGCCTGTAGGTAGTCCAGCATTATCAAATCTCAATGCCAACTCCCACCATACATACGAGGCATTCTGAACCCCTGATGGTCTTATGAAAAGTTAACACCAGTTATTTTTTCCTACTCCTGGTAGACGAACAATGTGCTTTATAGTATTCAGAATCTGTAGCAATAAGAAAGTATACTGATGAAGCCGAATAGAGAGGGCATTTATATACTAAATCTCTTATAAGATATCGCCTCTACCTCAACTGTTCCCGGTAAGCTGTTACAAAGGTAACAGTCAACCTGTCTATATAAATTTAGATTCTATTGAAAAGCAAAACGATTTGTATATAAAATTGTATAACAATTGATTCACAAAATCTTTTCATCTTTAACAAACTCGGATATATAATCTGATCCTAATTATATAATGAATCTTAGAGATCTAGAGGAATTAGAAAATTAGATTTTAGACTTATTAAATTCAAAAGATTCAATTAATATAATAGTTTATATAATCAAAATGAATTTTTTTAATATAAAACTTTATATTTAAAATCGATTATTTAATATACTTTATTATTAATTATGAATTACAATTATTAATATTATTTTAAATTTTTATTTGATATTTAATTATAAATCATTTTTATATAATCTAAATTGTATCCTTATAACACTTTAAGTATTATTATTGTTTTAAATATTAATTTAATGAAATAATTATAACGATCTGGTCGAGGCAGCGGCTGCCTGAGGTTTGTATAGTTGGTAGTTGTAGGTTAAGGCTATTAATCACTGGTTATTCATTTGAAAGTGAATTCGTTATTAGATCAAGTAGAATATATGTAAACTAATTGATAATTAAGTTGATCACGAAGCTCCTAAACTATGAAACTATTCTGATTATATACTAATCCCTTTCGGGAGCCTCGAAGAGCCTACACTCCTAAGAGCTCTAAAGAACCTAAGAAAGCCTATACTTCTAGAGGCTCCATTATATGATATTTTATTCTGGTAGGCTAATCCTAACGATTCTGCCCTATTGGAATTGCCTCAGGATAATCCCTTCTCTAGGATAATTGATATCCTAATATAATTGTTCCAAGATAAATATCTTAAAATAATCATTATCTTAATCTATTTCGTAGAGTTAGGATATTTGTCTTATTATATTATAATTACCTAGAACACTTGTTCTAGGATTTCTAGATTCTTAATTGTAACAATAAAGAACCTCTTTATAATCGATAGCTAAATCACCGATACTTATAATATTATTATAATCTTAGATGTAAATGATTTATAACAATAATATTATATCTTTTGAACTCTTTTGGTTTAACAATTTAATTATAATTATTTTAAATGATTTAGATTAAAATAAAGATATTTTTATAAAAAAAATAAAGAATTCTAAAAAGATTATTATTATTGAAATCTTCAAAATCACTTTATTTGATAAATTTACCAGGGGCCAGCGCCCCCGGACCCCTGCCTTTTCGAGAAAGTCTAATGAAAATTTAAGTTTTAAAAGTTTATAATAAATTTAAATATTAAATATATATCAGGATGCAGACAGAATATTGATTTATTTTTGATAATTGAAAATTAAAATTTTTTATTTAAAAATAATAATTATGATAATATTTAATATTATTATTTATAATAATAATAATAATAATAATGTTTTATATTATTTATATTATTTATAATATTATTCAATATTATTATATTATTATTTAATATTATTATTTATAATAATAATAATATTTTATATTATTTATATTATTATTATAAGTTGAATTGAATAAATAAAGTTGAATTGAATGATTTCAGTAGAGTTGAATAATTTCAATTGAATTATGAATTAATTGAGTTAATGATTTTAATAAAGTTGAAAAAAGTTCCAAGTCAGATTTGTCTGAGGTTGTAAGGCTTATGCCAAGCTTTTTGTTAGATTTATTTACCGGGGTATTTACCGGAGTATTTTAGACCAATCAGATTATCAGGATCGCGACTCACTTAAGCGGGTTTCTTATTTTCCATGATCTACACCAGGTAAATGTTACGAGGGATGCGATCTAGATCACGTGGAAGTGGCCTAAATCCTCGAATGGTTTATAACTAAGCGTCAAGTAGAGGCTTTAAGATAATATCAATGATTGCAATTCGTAACTAATAGTAGAGTATACTAAATGATTGATCTTGAGCACGAAGCTCTACAAAAGGAATCCTTTCCTAGCTATATAGTTCTTCGTGTTCCATATCCCACTCCTCCCACTGAATAAAATCGGTGGGATCGATGGGAATCGTTTCCTACTGCTCCTACTGATTTAAATCAGTGGGATTAGTGGGAATAGTATTATATGATCACTTGATTATATGATTCTATCGTTGTTATTATGGTGGATCCAATAATAACAACTCTTGTGCTTATTAGATCCCCATACCACCTTAATCTCATACTAAATTGGTCAAATCGTATTTCGTAAGCATAGGAATAGTTATTGTAAGATCCGTGATCGTAACAATGAAATAGGCTCTGAAAAAGCAGCGTCAAAAAGCTGTATTTCCTGAATGACATTATCTACTTAATCGACGACGTCCAAAGCGAGTTAGCTAGTACATCATAGAGACTCAGGTACAGGAATATTGTCCTATTGCACCCACCAATACGGTAAATGACATATTTGTACTTACGCCGGGCACAGTTTGTACATGAGTAATCATATGAAGCTGAAATACTGTAGAAGACGGCGTCCATCAATCATGGGTTGTTTTAAAGACAGGGCCAGTGCTGGGGAAACCATACGTGAAAGGCAAATAGTTCGAACGGCTCTTCATATTAAATAAGAGTCTCTAATTAAGCATCAGAGTCGTCGGGATATCAAGACGTAGGAACAAGTACACTTTTACATTACGCGTTTGGAGGCCATAGTGCGCGCTTAGATACTAGAATATAAGTCTAGTATCCCCTTTTTGGACCACCCCTAATATGGACCACCTTTTTACACCAAAAATCGTGATTTTCATCTATTAATAACTTTACAAAAAATCAATAAAATTTGATGAAATTTGAATCGTAGATTTATTATATAGTTATAACTCAATTCTGAAAATTTTAGATTTTTTGGGATCGATTTCATTGAGATTTATAACCTTAAATTTTGTGATTTTTGATTTGTATAGGATTTACATTCAAATTTACAAAATCTTTAAAATCTTGAATAACTTTTCAACAAAAATAATGAAAAATGAAATATAAATTTTTTTCGAATATTTATATCATAAATGATAAAATAAATCAATTTATTTTAAAAAATATTTTACAAAAATCCTTCTAGTCAAAATGTTATGATTTTTAATCCATACAAAATCTAAAAATATCAATAAAAATTTATTTATATTATTTAAAATTCAAAATACTAGTTTATTATATAATATTTAGTTTAAAAATCCTAAAAAAAATTGTAATTTATTTTTAGCAATTTTTGTTGAAAAGTTATTCAAGAATTTCAATATTTTTAAATTTGTATATAAATCCAATACAATTTGAAAATCATAATTTCAACTTTCAATTTCTCAATCAATAAAATCGTGAAAAATCTGAAAATTTTAGAATCTATCAATAATTATATATTAAATCTATAATTAAAATCTCAATTGATTCTATTCATTCGTTGTTGAATTATTAATAGTTGAAAATGACGATTTTTGGTGTAAAAAGATGGTCCATATTAGGGGTGGTCCAAAAGTAGGGTACTATACTTACTATGGTGCAATGCTTGACCAGGGCTTGCCCTCTCATTTAGCAATAATCACCTGTATTATATCCTTCTTTAGATTTTATAAGAAACTAAACTTTGAAGACCAAAAATGATAATTAACTGAAAAGCGAAAAGTATTCTTACGAATCCATCCCCTAAAACCTGACAGGGCTAACCGAAGGGATCCATTTCTTGGCAATTTCGAAACCAGCTAGACTAATCACAATCTAAGGCTGAAAAGATGGTTACTTGAGCACCGGCATAGGAAGAAGTAGATGCTACATAGTAAATGCTTTTCAATATCTAATATTAGTTCCGCCCGGGCTTTTATCAGTCAGGTCAAAGCTTTAAAAATAGGACAGGAAGCTAAGCTATCTCTAGTATCAAGATATAATTTCATCTATAATAACGCATTCAATCATCTACCGACACCATTTTTCCCTTTAAGATCTCTCAACAACCTCCCTCTCCCTCGCAATCTTATTATCCCCAAGAGTAACCCCAATCTCCTTAACCACCAACCACCCAGGAATCAGCGCCAATCCCCAAAGGCCAAAATTGAGATATACACCCCCGACATTACCCATTACTGTGATGCTATTTAATCCGTACTATGTGTTTCGTCAGTTATTTTGTGATATGGATGATATGATGAAGATAAAAGCGGTGACTCACACTAACAGCCTGCACAGCTGATTCTGTTCCTCGAAGCAGTGCTGCGATTCTTATGACTTCTTCGGCGGTTGTAGCGAGATTTCCAACGAGGAAGTATCTGATGGTCGTTAGTATATTTATGTAGGATATTGAAGTATGTATGTACTCACAGGAATAGATAGTTAATTTGGAATCCGGAAACCCATCCTAGGAATACTAAGAATGTCCTCACGAATGCTCCACCATCAGACCAATCAAATACTGGTAGTGGATTCTGATCCGAATAGTTTGTCACGAGGACAGTTCCCCATATCCACCAAACCTAGAATCAAAGTCAGTAAATGTACAAAGCTAAACATTACAAAGTGAGTGAAACAAAAGAACAATACTCACACCCTGCAAGCCTACAATTACCACAAAAGCCCATCTCGCTCTTTTCTTCAACGGCCACTTCTCCCGATCCAAAAATGCACCCAACAAGTTACCCGAAATCATTGCCACAATGCCGGAAAGAAACGAACCCAATGCTCTTCCTCTCACACTAAGCCACACAGATTCATAAGTAAACATAACGGCCTCGCTATAAACTCCTTGCGCAATAACTGGCACTAGCAACAAAAAGTATTTACTTATAAACAATTTCGACGTAAATTTTATTTCCCTCCAGCTAGATTCCGAGATGCGAAGATTTGGGATAACTCCATCAGTTCGCTGAACCTTTTCAGGTGGTGTAAGGAGTAATGCCGCAAAAGGTCCAAGGGCTTGTAACGCGATGAATATAAGATATACATTGTATGATACCTTGCCTCTACCAGAATTATCCGCATTGAGAGCTAGATTAATCACGCCGCCCAAAACCTGTCCGGCAACTCGGAAACTTAACCATAATCCTAGGAATCTTCCCTGATTCTCGGGTTCCGGATAACTCAATGCGACCGCTGCTTCGGCCATCCAAAACACACCAGCGGAAATTCCGCACAAGGCTGCGCCGAGGAGAACAAGCCACTCATTGCCGTATCGATTGTTGCAGTAGAGTCCAGCAGCGTATGGTGCGTAACCGATCGTGCCAAAGATGAGAGCGGGTTTTATACCGATATATTTAACGAGGATGGAGGAGAAGAAACAGGAGATGACCATGAGGCAGAAGGTTAGGGCATTAGCGGCATTAACCAAATATGGACTTTCTTCGCCGCCAGCCCCCAGACTGTTCATTGCACCCCAGATACCTGGGGCCAGGAAGTTACAAATGCCGAGGATGATGGCATTGTAAAGGGTTGAGCGGTACCATTTTACTATAGTCTGTTAGGATTATATTATGATAGATATGAAAAGAGATCAAGCAAACATACCAGGCAGCTTTTCCCTGAGTACAGGCAAAGCTTCATTGTCAGAAGATATCGAAGTATCTAGCACCTCAGACTTGTCGGACGCCATCATGATTCAATGAAGCGAGCAAATGAATTGAACGGCGGAATGCAGAAATATTGCACATTGAGCACTGGGGTCCCAAAACGTTTTATCTATCCATGGTTTCCCACAGATATGGATGCACGGTACTCAAATCGAAGTCAAAAAGCCGGTAGACATGCATTCTCCACCTCGGTTACATGGCGTGATGAGCACGGAATAGAAACCTTGTCATGACGAACACTATACTTCAACTAGCACTGCATCAGAGGGGTTTTCAGAAAAGATAAGCAGGCAAGTCTTCTTGAGAGTATGGTGGGGAATGTAAACCTTTCCGTATTCAGACCACAATCTCTTAGATTCGATTTCGTTCGAGTTTGAGTGATCTTGGCCTAAATTTTCGAACGAGATTTCAAGGTCCGGAATTTTCTGCCCTATCTGATCCATACTACCGGGTCTTACTAGAGAATGAGGTGCATTAAAATCGGATTATCGATAGCGTTGAAGATTGTAAAATGAAAGTAGCATTCATGTCGTGCCTTTTCTACGTCACGAAGTCGGTATTATGAGACTTGTGTTATATTGAAAAGATATAGCTAATTGATATGATTCACTCTATATGCCTTCAAACCATTCTTCATGATAACTTCTCAAATCAACCTGATCTGGACGTTTGAGGTATGGTGTCAGATCACTATTTGCAATCGTCTCTTTTACCGTCCAGCCATTTCCTAAATATGCAAAACGATTCCCAGTTTTCGACTTATAAGTATATTCCCAATCTTCCCACCTGGGATCTTTTCTTATAAAATTAACATGCGATGCACTTCCAGGCCAGTGACCATGGATTCTACCTCCCGGTCTGCCAGAGTTTCCCCAAGATTTGCAATTGTCTGTCCATACTGTTCTAGGAAAGAAAGCATCACTATAAGCGATAAAATCATTTGTTGCCTCTTTGGAAGGAACGAAAGTTTTGATACTCTGCTGGCTAATCTTTCGCAATAACTTTGCTAAGTAAGTTATTTGTGTTTCTGTTTGGTTAGGAACTGTGCCACTTGTTCCATGAGCATTAGGCCCGGAGACGAAGAGAAGGTTGGGAAAGGAAGGCGACGCGACTCCAAGGTATGTAAGAGGATCAGGATTCCAAGCATCACGCAAATTGTGACCAAAGGCAACAATGGGAAATGGCGGTCTCATATCAATGTTTGCCCCTGTGGAGCATATTACTGCATCGACTTTTCGTTCAATGCCATCAGTCGTAACAATTCCTTCTTCTGTAAATTTTTCGATAGGAGTCCGGATGAAAGAGACGTTATCTTCAGTCAAAGCTTCTAGATAACCAGGCCCTGGTGTCAAACGGCGACAATTTGGAGCGAAATCCGGAACAATATCATCCAATAACTCTGGCTTCTTCTTCAAACGTTCTGCCATCAATCTTCGAAATTCTTCTTCAAGCTTCTTGTTGTCCTCTGTGCCTTTAAATAAAGTGGAAAATCGAAGATAGAATTTACCCTCGAGATCTTTTCGAAATCTGTGATAAGTGTCTGGATCCTCGAATGAATTTAGGAGGTCTTGAGGAAAGTGTTTTGGCTCCAATGTCCTACCTTCTCCTTCACCACCAAAAGATCCCGCAATCCAGGTCTTGCTGCGTGCATAATGGTCTAAATGTTTAACCACTTTTTGAAGATTTGGAACGACTTGCAATCCACTAGCACCATTTCCAATGACTGCGACGGTTTTCCCAGTAGGATCAAAATTCGGGTCCCAATTCGATGAATGGCGTAGATGGCCCTTATAATCGCGAATACCAGGATAATCTGGTAGCCTCCAATCGTTGAATCTACCAATTGCTGTAATCACTACATCGAAATTTTCTTCAGACTTCTCTCCATTCTCAAGATTCTCAACACTCAATGTCCATTGTGCATTCTCCTCATTCCAGACTGCACCGATGATTTTGCGGTTGAATTTGGCGTAATCGTAAACGTTGTGCTTTCGTGCCACTTTCTGCCAATATTCTCTGATTTCTTTTCCTTGCGCATACTCCTCGGACCATTGTGTATTAGGCTCGAATGTTGATTGGTATACATTCGCCGGAATGTCGCAACGGACCCCCGGGTAGATATTCTCAAACCAAGTCCCTCCAATATCGGCATTCTTCTCAAATATCGTGAGTTGAATTCCTGGTACTTTCGCAGGCAGAAGGATACCTGCGTTTATCCCGGCAAGGCCAGCACCAATAACCGCAACCTATCGAACCATTATTTAGTACGCTGAGAAGAAATGGAGATTTAAGACAATTACAAACCTTTAGCGGTTTGACAATGTCTACTGGATGATCTTCGATTTCAAAACCAGGCTGAGGCGTAGGTCGAAATGGTAAAGAGGAAATATTTTGAGCTAACCCATCACTATTTGTTTTGACGTCGATGGTCACTGGAGCTGGCACTTCAGTAGATGTTGAAATTGGAACCTTGACAGTTGAAGTAACATCAATACCTTGTGTCTCCGCAGCAACAGCAGAAGGTGGCATGGTTTTCTAATGACCGGTTTGCGGTCAATCTATAGATGTATGAAGTAAGATTGCAATTTTCAGAGCTTCCTTCTCAAACTTCTGAACAATAAGAATGACAACTGAAAAGGAACACGGGAAAGGCTGAAAACAAAAAAGATTAGTACCATCCAACGAAATAAACAACTACTCCACTGAGAGAGAACTAACACTCTTGATCACGATATTGTAGCATCTCATTGCAGCATCCACGGCATGTATCAAGATAAACGTTCAGACCCATATTTCTCCCGACTTTCTTTGGGCCAAGATAGCTCAACCCGAGCTCGTTATCAATGAGATACTATCCATCCCTTCTTCATGTTCTCCGCGAGTACGGAGTAGACATGCAACCACGGGTTAGGAGGGGTAAGTGGGGGGTTGCACTTGCAATAAATCCGGCTATATGACCATCTCCCTCCTTCGTGCACGACATATTAATATCCCCATGCGACACATCCCGGAAAAGATAAACATGAGAAGAAGATTGATAGGCTTGGGGATATCTGAATGATTATGTGATTACATGGGGAGTTGTCGACTTTGTTCCTAGTAGTAGAATATGCTTCGATGGCTGATAGTGGAAGTGTCGAAAGGGAAAAACAAGCCAAGTTAGCATGTACTGACCTGTATCTCGTATTGGCTCGATTAGATGTTAGAGAAGAAGTGGATTCATTGGCGGGGCACGTGCGGGGTCTGTCGCATTTGTGCTTTTGCAAGGAATAAGACGCCATCGATATTCAATCAAAGGAAAGTTCTTATCATCATTTTGCATTTTAACCTTCAACGAATTATGGCACGATGGAAACCTACATTTTCATCATGCCTATGGAACCGGCACCGGCAGCTATGTATAATCGATCAAGGTAATGCCATTACCTAAGGTATAGAGTACAGATGTAGGCTTGGATCTCCTTTCCCGTTTCTGCGTTCCCCTCTTTTCCCTTCATTACGTCTGGGAGATAAAACTGTAAGGTTAGAAGGATTGTCTCTATTCCCGTCAGTCTTCCTCACCCGACGAGATCAATCCATATCTGCAACATGTCTTCCACTAAGAAACAGCTCATTCTCAATGCCTTTGCTATGCAAGCACCCAGTCATCTCAATCCAGGTCTCTTCAAATATCCTGGCGATCAAGGTTCTGAATACAAGAATATCAAGTCATGGATTGCACTCGCCGAGAAGCTCGAAAAGGCCAAATTTCATGCCATATTCTTTGCAGATGTTCTAGGTGGTTATGATGTTTACAAAGGTCCTGCGAATCTTGAGCCAACAATACCTGCTGCGTCTCAGTTCCCAATAAATGATCCGTTATATAGCATTCCTGCTATGGTGAGTCCTTCTCGACCGCTTTTCTAGTAGTATTTCTTTTAAAACAAAACCTAACATGGAAAAGGCTGCAGCTACAAAAAGCATTGGATTTGGTGTGACTGCTTCGACAACCTACGAACAACCTTATCTACTTGCTCGCAGATTCTCGACAGTAGATCACCTTAGTGAGGGACGAGTTGCATGGAACATAGTCACATCATATCTCGACTCTGCAGCTCGAAATCTCGGTCTAGATACCCAAATTGAACACGATGAACGGTATAGGATTGCTCATGAATACCTTGATGTTACATACAAGCTCTGGGAAGCATCTTGGAGAGATGATGCTGTACAGCCTCCAGGATCGAACTCATACGCAGATCCAAAAGGAGTCAGGCAGATCAACCACAAGGGGAAATATTTCAATGTTCCAGGTCCACATTTGTGCGAACCTTCTCCTCAAAGGACTCCATTTTTGTTTCAAGCTGGAACTTCCTCCGCGGGAAAGAAATTTGCTGCCACTCACGCTGAAGCTATTTTCTTGAATGCGCATACCCCAGAGCTTATTCGTCCATCGGTAGACTCTATTCGTTCACAAGCTAAAGAATTGGGAAGAGATCCGGCCAGTATCAAGATTGTCGCTGGGCTTTTGGTTATTGTTGCCGAGACTGATGAAAAGGCTCAAGAGAAATTCGAAAAACTTGCAAGTTACGGAGACCGAGAAGGAGCTCTATCGCTATTTGGAGGTTGGTCCGGATATGATCTAAGCTCATATGGAGATGATGAAGACTTTCGATTTATCGAAAGCGCTCCTCCTGCTGTAAGAAGTATGGTCAATCACTGGGCATCAGTATCGCCGCAAGGTTTAACATGGAACAAAAAGACAATTGCAGAGCATCTTATCCTAGGAGGAAATGGTGCGAAGCTTATCGGAAATGCAAAGACGGTTGCAGATGAATTAGAAAGGTGGGTAGAGGTTTCTGATGTTGATGGATTCAATTTCAGTTATGCTAGTATTCCGGAGACCTTCGACGATATGATTGAATATCTACTTCCCGAACTACGGAAGAGAGGACTATTTTGGGATGACTATGCTGTTCCAGGAGGTACTTTGAGAGAAAACTATTTGGGTGTTAAAGGCCAAAACAGACTTGCGGAATCGCATCCTGGAGCAAAATATTTCTGGAAAGCTGGAGAGGATGTACCAGCATATGCAAAGGAGGAAACGAAGAATGTATGAGATGAAGAATAAAATATCACTTCAACTTTAATTCTTCGACGAGGGTGAAAAGTACTTTCAATTTTTCCTGACCATGTCTTTACTCTTTTACAAAACGACACCCATGTAGGCTACGTTGCTGATGTCCGCACCTATGTCATCTACCTTGTACTTCTCCATGATGTAACTTCTCCGAACGCATGAAGAGGCTTGGAGGTACCGAAATAGCCCTATCAATCGTCCATTCATCCATTTCATCTATTTCTTCATCATCCATACATTTCTGCTTCGTCTCATCATTGATTTTGCGAAATATTTCTCCACTCATCGCACCATAGCCATGCCAAGCGGCTAGAATTACCCTGACACATCTCCACTTTCACCCATTTCCTCCATGAGAGGGTCGCTTTCGGCTATTTTGCTTGATACGCCCCACCCTCTCGCGACGGAATTTGTTCCAAGTAGTATTTTTTTATGTATCGTCAACCCATCTGATCTTTGACTCCTGCGTTTGAGATGTTGAAAAATCACCTCATGTATGGAGAGGTCGTCGTAATGAGGAATAGACACGAATGCACGTTTAGTTTTACATTTCTATAAGATGACAACGATTGTCACGCCGTCTACTCAAAGGAAATCTGTTTCTTACGGCTGATGATTTCACTTACTTACTTTCGCTTCTTTCTAAATATCTGATGTCTTATCCTCAGCAGGTCTGATTCTTTTCTTGGTCTTGTTCAAACGTTCTTTATCTATTTATTTATATTTCTGATATTGCCGTGCTGTGCATATTGTCACCTTCAATCTATGATCATATCTTCTATTCTCGACAAACAAAATGCCTACCCTTAAACAACTCCTTCTCCTAACCCCCGCTCTTTTCTCTACAATCCACGCTCAAGGCGTACTCCTCTCAGCTCAAGGAACCAAAGACTCCCCTGCCTCTCTTCCCCTCCAAGTTCAACTCAACACTAACGACGCAAATATAATCAACGCGGCCGAAATCAACAGCAACATCGTAAATGAATGCGGACGCACAATTCTCAACGGCAATATCGATATTGGCGAAAATACCGAAACACAATTAGCTAAGAAAAGCGTAACATCGGTTACGAAAGGAAGTGTCGTTAATGTGGTGATACAGCAAGGAGGTGCCAATGGAAAGGGTCCGTATAAGTGTGATATGGATCCGACAAGTAACGGGTTGGGATCGGGGCAGACGAAATTGGCGGTTAAGGAGACAGATGGGAAAGGAGGAAATATAAACTTAGCTGTTACTATGCCGAGTAATATGAGTTGTATTGGTGGTATGTTTAGGCCCTTGCTATTATATCCTATTAACCCCTCTCCATACTCACGGACCAAAATCTTCAAGTCAAATTCAACAACTAACAAAACCTAGCTTCAACTGGAAATATCTGCACAGTCCGTTGTTTTAACGCAGCAACCGCTGGACCATTCGGCGGTTGTTTTGCAGTGATGCAGACGGATGAGACGGCTAGCAAGAATACACCTGGGACAATTGCCACAGCGCAAACTTTGAAGGGTGTTGAGGCCCAGGTTTTACAGTACGTTTTTGACTTAACGTTCTTATCATCGTAGAGAAACACTCGCCTTCATTGTGCAATCCTCCTCCAATCATCTAAAATGCTTTCTAAAACCTATTCTCCATCTCGTATCCTCTTAACCAATCCCTCGCCCCTAGCCGCGAGCTATAACTCCTCACAATTCCCACTAACATCCATCCTAGGAACAACAAAGATCTCCCCGCCGCCATGAAAGCAAATTCCGAAGCAACGCTTAACGAACAAGGAGTTTTTGCAGTCGAAGCACTTCTTAGTTCTTCCCTTGCAGCGGTTCCTACTGTTACTGCGAAAGCCGCGGCTACTCCTGCTGCTGCTGCGGGAAAGAAGAACGGGAACGGCAATGGGAAGAACGGCAATGGGAATGGGAATGGGAATGGGAATGGGAGATTTGGAGGAGATAATGGGAACGGGAGGTTTCCTAAGACGTTTTTTGCGTAAGGGGTATTTATGGGATGGAGATAGTGGGAGGTGTGTTGACAGCGTGATGAGATGAGTTGAGATGAATGGGATAAGATGGGGTGTAGTTAGATACCCGGCTTTTTATTTTATTTATTCAACAATATTTATATATTACTTCGATTCGGAACCATGGTAATATATTCTTCGTACTTGTTATACGAATAATGGGTGTCATGGTGCAATATAGCATTTAAGTCTTATATTCTAATCAAAACAGATATTGAAAATCTGATTGATGTCCTACTTGATTCCTAAACGAGAATATACGCAGGAGATTATATACAAAGAGGTACGAAGACTGAACTGAAAAGTTTCGATTCATTCTACTCAATTTCTTGTATACTGAAATTTTGTAGGATATCATGTGTTCCAAAGATATGTACCAAACTTAAGTCAAGCTAAACAGGCACAATTAGTTCATTATTACAATGAGTTTGCCATTACAAAATAGCAGATACTGCTATCCTGGGCTTACTAAGAGTATGATGAGCGAGAACCAAAAGGACAAAAACTCCTGAGCTCGCTCAATTCTCCCAACTCTTCAGATTCGGCCTTGAAGCCTACTAGTTCTTAGCGGTCACGGTATCGCTGTCTCTTTCTACTTCATATCATTCAGAGCGTTTTTCGTTGTTGTGGCTAGTTTTTATGATTCAGGCCTGACTCCAAATATGTTGCTGTATAATCCCATTCAGAGTATACTGTTGTAATTGTGAAGATTGTTCCCAATTTGTATTTCGATTTCGATTTCTGTTTTCCTCGCGAGAGGAAGTAGTATATGCTATAATTAAAGTTACATAAAATACAATACAGCCCATAAGTGAAAGCTCTAGAGATGTAGATCCTGTGTTATTTTAGCATCTCAATATCTATGATATGAAGTTATCCTAGAGTTATTAATCATTTTATATAACGAGCTCGGAGTTTGCTTCCCGTGCTTAATTATTGCTAGACGGACAACTTCAAGCTCAGATCATTATATCTAGACCATGGTTGGTTTTAAATGGAGAGAGATATTCGACGTTGAAGTATCCGGATCACAAACTTCCTTTGAACTCTTCAACCTCTTCACGACTGTTGGAGGAGATCACGGAAAAGCCACAACTTTATTTCACTGTGACAAATGAGACTGAATCGTGTTCTATATATTGTTTGAAGGGAAAATGCAAGTGATCATATAGCTATTACAGCTACCTCCTCCCAGTCTTGCAAGTGGGCGTATAACGGTTGGAGTTAGGTCACTTTGAGGTCTTGACTGTTGTTTTCAAAACTATCAGTGGGTTTTCTCCTCCAAAGACTCAACTTCTTCACAATCACCAAGTAAACAATAAGTTCTTGTCTTTATAACTTCGTTGGTAGAATCATTAGTCGACATGGTACATGATTTTGCCAGAAAACATTACTATTTCCGTGCTATCTTAGCCAGGTAGTACCCCAACACATGGAAATCTGGAGATTGGTGTTCATGAGTTCACGCTGTATGATGCCGTCTCTAAATCCCAACACCGATGTATCATATATTCCAACTGAGTGAATACATGAATACCATAGTTGATCTCTGTCGAAGTCTTTGAATATATGGAAGTTAAAGAACTTCAAGATCTTTGAAAAGTTCAGACACAGGAGTGTAATATACAACTCATTAACCAGCCAATACCATTTTGTGGCGACATTCATGAGACCAGGTACCACGATCGATCCTTCCCCTCAAGAATGCTGAAAATTTTTAAAACAACCAAATTATGTCAAGCTTCGCACAACTGGGAAGTGGTTGTATATATTTAAAACAATAATTATTTACTTCTCACTCACTCCAACACAGAATTGATTGATGCTTGACTCACTCATTCCTTTTTGCCTTTGATTTCTTTTCCTTTCCTTCCTTCCTCCATTCCTTTTCCCCATGATCCCAAGGTATTTACCTCGACGAATGAAATTGCGAGACTTCACAGAGACTTAGAGCCGGATGAAAAGTGTACAAGCTATTTGGAAAATGGTTCTCAAATATAAGGAGAAAGCTCTTCGTTCCCCACGATCATATTCCGGACTACAGCGGACGAGGTATCAGAAACGATTTATCCTAATTACAATTGTACTTTTAATATGCGTCTACCTCTTTTCCACTGCCAGTCATTTCTCTTTAAATGACCGATATGAATTTTTCTCATATCCTCCTACCGGCCTATCTCCGCCTGTCGCAGGTCGATATAAAATACAAGCAACAACATTTCCAAAGGAATCAAAATCTGCCAGAGCAGTGCGTTTAAAAAGACGGCAGAAAGCCAAAGAGGAATTTCTACATGCTTGGAATGGATATAAAAATAATGCATGGATGCATGATGAAGTAATGCCACTCTCTGGTGGTCAAAAAGATACATTTGTGGGTTGGGCTGCAACATTGGTGGATTCTTTGGATACACTTTATATAATGGGGTTGAAGCAGGAATTTGAAGATGCATTGAAATCACTTAAACAAATCGACTTTTCGAAACCAAATGCCGAACGCGTGCCTGTATTCGAAACTACTATCCGGTATCTAGGGGGTTTGTTGGGTGCATGGGATGTTAGTGGTCATCAATATCCTATTTTGCTTGAGAAGTCGAAGCAGCTTGGAGATTTATTATTCAAGGCTTTCAATACCGAAAGTGGTATTCCTACGCCTTATTATTGGTGGGAGAAAGAACTCTCAGAAGGAGAAAAGATACTGGACGAGAATGGTGTCCTGCTTGCGCAAATTGCAGGTTTATCACTCGAATTTATTCGTTTAAGTCAAGTTACAGGCGATCAAAAATACGAAAAGTCCATACAGAAAATTACGGACCAACTGGAAGACATTCAAAATACTACAGCATTACCAGGAATGTGGCCATCTCAAATAAACTGTATGGGTTCAAATCTAGCATCTGCGAGCCTTTCTTTTACTTTGGGAGCTTTCGCCGGTACATTCTTTTGTCTTGTTTCTATTTCACGTCTTTACTAACTTATATAAGTAAAGATTCTGCTTTTGAATATCTTCCAAAAACACATTTAATTCTTCCCAAATCCTCCTCCGCCGATCAGTATCTTAGAATGTATCGTAATGCACTATCAACTATCAAAAAACATCTCATTTTCCGTCCCAGCCTTCCAGGCGATCCTGATATCCTATTCACAGGAACCGTCGACGTCGATTACGAACAGCCAATTCTAGATGCTCAAATCCAACATCTCGCTTGTTTCACAGGAGGTATGGTAGGTATAGGGTCACGGATAAATCAATCACCATCAGAAATGGAAACCGCGATAAAACTAACCAACGGTTGTATCTGGGCTTACGGAAACACCCCTTCGGGAATCATGCCTGAAATATTCCATGTCGACCCTTGCACTAATACTTCCACCTGTACATTTCAAGGCTCAAATACAGACCAACACCATGGCTTTACGCGAATTAAAGATCCATCCTATCAACTCCGTCCCGAAGCCATCGAATCTATCTTCATCATGTATAGACTAACAGGTGATCCTATATGGCAGGAAAAAGGTTGGAAAATATTCAGCGCCGTTGTTAAACATACGCATACAGAAATAGCAAATGCTCGAATAAAAAATGTCATGCATGAGGAACCAGAGAAAGAAGATTCGATGGAAAGTTTCTGGTTGGCGGAGACACTAAAGTATTTTTATTTGCTTTTTTGTGAACCGCATGTGCTGAGTTTGGATGAGTGGGTGTTGAATACGGAGGCTCATCCTTTGAGGCAGAGTAAACACTATGAAAATAGGGAACGATAATACTACCATTCTACCAGGAAGCCGGCGTTAGGAGTTGAACCTAAATGGTAATGTACGTCAAACGGGTAACTGGCAGGCTAGGGGTTAGCTCGCTTAGGACTTTGGGATTCGAATGTTAGGAATAGAATTAACGGAATGAAAGGGATATAATAAGAGCGTAAGATCTCTGCGTAGATAGCAGTGCGTCATAGTACATATAACACATTAACCGCATCGTCTTATTTGATCTATTACTTGAATAATAGCTGTACAGCAGTCCTTCCCGTTACACCTGCACCAATTTCATGATAACATTGAGCTCGAGTGATTAGTCCAACGCCCGACGGTGGTTGGAAATGTAGATTTATTTTGAATGTTAAAAATAATATAGAATTATCTTTTATATATTAATATAATATATATAATATGATTGATAAATAACTAATTATATCGTTTTTAAAAAAATCTAATCTGAACTATTAATACTAGGTTTAAAAGTTTTTAATTTAATAAGAATTTTTTAATAAATAATTTTTTCTAATTAAAATTTACTGTAATATATAAATAACAAATCTACATTTAAAATATCAAATTCTTGTATTTATAAATAAAAAATTATAAATATTAATTTTTGTTATTTTTTAATAAGAAAAGTAATTCAAAAGTAATAAATGATATAAAAGTGAAACAATAAATTTATAATACACTTGAATTTTTGATTTTAAATTCTTTAAAACATCAAGTATTATAGACGGTTTATTTAAATATATAAATACTAATATATCTATATCTATTCACTCACTCAATTATAAATCACTATCAATCTACTACACCACTTACTTCACTTCGTACCACTTCACTTCGTACCACTTCACTTACACCAGCACCAAATCAAGCACTCTTAAGTGCTACATGGGACTATTCCCATCATGAGTAGATTAGCTATTTATTCTGATACTGCATAAACTTCAAATGATATGATATAACATCATGATATCATCACTAGAAAAATCGAAGAAGGAAAGAAACTAAACGTACCACGTCAAACCCACTAATGCCTTTGGTCAGATAACCAATAGTATCTTTGAATTCTTGTGTACCTTGAAAGGCCTGTTGTTTTATTAGCAATTTATCTTTTCTCTCATCTACCCATTCTCTCATCCCCCATCTGGTCCGTATCTCCCGTGGCCTGACTTAAAAGCAAAACCGACAATGGGGGAGAAGAAAAGGGGTAAAACGAACCGTGTGGGCAGCCACATTCTCCCATCCAACTACAAAAACCACCGCTCTTCCCTTTTCTTCCTCTTTGGCATCACTATTCTTAGCAATCTTCTCAATCACCTCTCCATATTCAAGTAATCCAAGGAATCCTGCGATTTTCTTTTGTGCCTGGACCTTTTTGAGGGTGCCTATGAAGTTATTTATTCCCTGTTGAAAATTGTTGGTTAGCTGATTAGTTGATTTTTGGGGTATGGTGGGTGGTGGGTTGAATGTTCAGGACGAGGGGCGTGATAGAAATGGGGACGGAAAGTTAGAATGAGAGGCTAGGAGTGAGAAGTGAAATTTGGATTTTCGAATCCCAGATGCCAATTCTACTCGAACCTCTCCATGAAATTGATTTTTTTATTAAAAAAAAGCATCAATCATTTACCTCGATAAAAACATCCTCCACACTAAAAAGCGAATAGTCAGTAATGCAGATTCGTCGTGCAGTAAGAGAAAGGGATTTCGAAGTATACGACAAATGAAATAGGCGATATATCAAGCCAACGGCGAGTATGAATCTGGAAAATTGGCGAGGGGACTCACTCAAAGAATACAGCTACTTCCATGACACCTTTCCCAGCAATCTCTTTGACGTTCAGTTTTTCTACATGCTTAATATCTGCGCCTTGAATAATTGAGCTGATGTTTTCGAGAAGAGAGGGATAGGCAGGAGATTCCATGAAGGATTTGTGGTGAGCGAGCGAGGTCCAGTCTTTTTATTGTCAATTAGTATTATGATATATATTTGATAGAGACACATATAAATATCAGAAATTGGAGAAGTAGATATTCGAAAATAGTCAGGGAATAATCAATGGGAAGACTGAGAAGAGAATAGCAAATGGGAGAGAAGCATAGTGAACAGAGCAACATACCAATATACCAGGCCAACACCTCTTTCTCCGTCTCCTCAATCACAGCCCCATAATAAGAACCATTATATCCTTTTTGAGAAGCAATTGTATCTAAAGTTCCACGCCCTAAATTTCGAGTATATACTCATTAGACCAAACAACCAGAACCACCAAACCAAGCAAGCTACCCATCATCACAATATCACACCTAGCCAATCTGTCTTATACTCCATCTCACCACAAACCACAGATCAAGGAAATTGACACTTACAAATCTTCGCATACTCCCCATCTCCCTCCAAATCCGCAACTTTAATTCCATCTTTCAACGTCAACCTCGCGACTTCCGTAACTGGCCCATTTTCCGATCGATTTGTGTGTGACATTTTGTTATCTTTTTCTGTCCCTCTTTCTGTTTCTCTTTCTCTATCCTTTTTCTCGCTAGAATATGAATCAGATGTATTCAAAGATATAATTGGTTTCTACTCACTTCAGTGTAAAAAAAATAAAAAGATATTTGTATGAGATGATATGGGATGGAATGAGAATAAGTTGATATAAGAATTCGGGATAGCGGGACAGTTATATAGGTATTATTTACCCCACATGCACACTAATGTCAGGGTTCACTCAGTCGGAGTGATAAGTCTAGTACTACTCTACTTTCGGGCCAACCCTCCCCCGCAACCCTCTATGGGCCACTTTTCTCCATCAAAAATTAAAAAAATAAACATTTGTGATATTTTTTTTTATAAATACAGTACAGTAGAGTGTTGAATATATATTACTAATATATTAACAAGTTTCAAATCTTTAAGATTTTTTATAATTTTATTAATAAGAAAAATATTAAAAATTTATAATTTATATCAACTTTTATTAATAATTTTAAAGATTTATAATTAAAAAATAAAAAATAATTAATAATAGTAATAATAATTAATAAAAATTTCAATTTGAATATAAGAATTCTTTTATTATATATAAAAAATAAATTCTAGTATTATAGATCATTAATTCATTAATTCATTAATCACCAATCCATCAATCCCAACCCCCCAATCTACAAATCCATCTATACATCAATATAAAATAAACGTTAAAGTAATAATTTTCAGTCAGTCCATCGGTCTAGTCTTTGAAGTTTGAACACGAGAAATCCTCCCCCATCCTCGGTAGATCACTAATCATCTATCATTTTAATCTTCCTCTCGCATTCAGTACCTATACCTACCTAGTATATCATTCCATTCTAGTCCCTATCTCGCATTCAATAATCTTCTATGTACGGTCCGGCCCAGCCCATCTGGCATTCCGTATCTATCATCTACCTAGGTAATTACTACCCTTCTGGCATTCACTAACTATATCATTCTAATCCCCATCTCGCATTCAGTACATCATTCTAGTCCCTATCTCGCATTCATATCCCCAATCCCGAAATCCCGTAACACAAAACACAAAATAAACAATAAAACTCGATTCATATCATTATGAAGCAATTCTTCACGTTTCATTTCACATCTACCTATTTTTTCCTCTCTTGCTCGCTTATCGTGCTTCTTTAGTTTCACTTCAGTTTTCCCCATCAATTCATGCAATAATCCCTGATACAAATCGAGCAGAAGTCTTATTTCATCCCATCAACCAGCCTGCTCCCATCACATCACATCATCAATAAGCTCCTCCAATTTTCACACCATTAACTTTTTTAGTATCAATTCGAGTTGAAAGATAACTTCACTCCATAGGGAAAAATATACGCCATAAAAGCAAGCCATCCACCAACCGACCGGTCAGTAACATCCATAAGAAATTTGATTCTGATTGTTAACACATATTGCTAAAGAGAGACCTTTTTCCTTGTCCTTATCTACCAATTTTCATATATCAATTTAGCTTGATGCTCTGTGACGTTCACTCTCTAGCCTTGAGTAAAGCATGTATCTATTAATTCATTAGCATGTGTGAAAAATGAGATTAAAGGATAAAAAACTTACAATGCCATTTGGTTGCATTCTGCCGTTCCTGTAATTGTAACCAATCTTTCATTTGAATTATCTTGAGGTTCATTGATCTTGATGACACTACCACTGAGTTGTCTGATTTCATTGATCTTAGCACCACCTTTACCAATTATAGCTCCAACCATATCATTTGGAATGAAGATTTGTTGGGTCAAAGGTTGACCAGGAATAGCTCCTGTCATGGGCTGACCTTGTGGACCCGTAGCATGTGGTTGAGGAACAGCGTGGCCAGCTTGTTGTGGTTGCTGTGGACCCACTCCACCATAACCACCAACTGCTGGAGAAGCATGTCCACCATAATGTGCAGCAGCAGCTGGTTGTTGATGAGGTGCTTGTCCTTGACCATATGGTTGGGCATAATTATTTCCAGGAGTATGATGAGAACCACGATCAGAACGACGATGGTTGTCAGGGTGACCATAATTTCCACCAGCTGGTTGTGGAACATATGGAACAACCTGCATACCACCTGGGACCACACCTGCAGGTCCACCACTTCTTGATGCATACGCAGATGCGGCTGGACCACCAAATCTCTCGGTCAATTGTTCAAACAATGTGCTACCCACGTAATAGGTTGCAATATGAACGGCATCTGCGACACCGAGAACGACAAGTGATCTCTCTGTCGAAAGTGGAAGGTACGAATCAGAAGCATTCAAACGAGCTCCTGAAGCTTCTTGAATTTCTCTAATACGAACACCACCTTTACCAATTATAGAACCAATCAAGATATGTGGGATGAGAAGTCGGAGAGGGTATGTCTTGGAGTTAGAGTCAGAAGGAGCTTCGAGGGGTTCATTGTTCAATGTTCGAATAATCAAACCGAATGCCTAGGAATAATTAGTCATGTGTTTTCAATGATCCAGACAAATGAACACACCTTTGCTACTGCATCAACAACACCGCTGACAGTCAAAATTCTTTCCACTGCGCCTTTTTGATAATCACTGACTGTACATTTTGCACCAGACAGTTTTCGAACCAATGAAACGTTTTCCCCTCCTTTGCCAATAACGGTGGCAGCTTCAGCACTTGTAATAACGGATCGAACATGTATCCATCCGCTTTCATCATGTGGCAGAGCATTTCCAGATGAAGATCCTTCGGGTTTGGCAGCAGAGGCGGTAGTCTGGATAGGCTGGGCTGCTTCGGTAGTAGGAGCATCAACTACCACAGTATCCCCTTGAGCATCCTTTACTTCTGGTTTTGTTCCATTGACTTCATCAGGTTTCGCATCCCCGTTTGAATTGGTGTGGACAGGAAGTTCGGTTTCGACGGCGGAAGTTTTCTTTTCTGAATCATCATCATCCTTCACAACCTTGTCTAGAGCAGGTCTTTTGGCATCTGGTTGATCGTTTGGTGCAGATGGTGAGGATGGATCCTCAAGAGGACGCTTTGCAGATTGTGTAGGAGCTGTTGTTGTAGGTGAGGCCGACATTTTTCGTTTGCTATTTGGTTAATCTCTTTCTTTCTTTCTTTCTTGTATTTTTGTTTCACTTTAAGTTGAATAGTGATCGGAACGGAATTGGAAGGTAAAGTCAAATGACTATTTGGATTGATCGCTTTATGTACACCAGAGGAGTCTTCGAAGGAAAACGTGCTGGTGCTGGGGTCGGAGGAAGCAGGGAATGAATCGTGTGCTTTTGACGGGGACTGCGAATAAGAGAAGATGTGTCGATAGGGGAGGAAGCAGATGTGGTGTAAAACAACAACTTGTAATCAACCTGCAAACTCTGGAAAGGGATATTTTGAAGTTGTTAAGGAAGGCGAATAATATCTGTGATGGAATGGATGGTAGGATTGTGTTGTGGATGGATGTGGATGTGGATGTGGGAGGTGAAAAATAACTGATTTTGAAGAATCCTCTCTTTTTTTGGGAAGGGAAAAAAGCAGTATTAAAGACCTATCCTCAAACCTTGAGCTTTTCCACCAACGAATCAAATTATCGTTGTCTTGAATGCTTCTCTTTTCTTCTTCTTAGTATTTTCCGATCCTGGGTTTGCGTTGCCTAGTATTTTAAATTGATGGTTGTTTGATTTTGCAGCTTGTCGGTCGAGAGTTGCAGGAGATGATGTTAGACGGCGACAAAGAGTCGATGATGGGGTAAATTTCGAAGAGGTCGATAAAAATGGCCGAGATCTTTACAGCTTCCTAGGTGTGGGTGGGTGGGTAGTCGACAGACTCAATTGAAGAAGTCGAGGGATGAGAAATTCAATGAAGAAGGGGAGGAGGGAAGAAATAGAAGAGCTTTAAATTGATTTTACTTTGATGGGCAGAGTGAAGGAAGTAGGAAAAGAAAGAACCTTACACGGTAATGGAGACGAGTCGGTAGATCTCATATAGGTAAGCTCTACTAGTGTAGAAAAGCTGGTGAGCCATGTAAACTAAACTGTGTGAGATCTTGTTGATGCCTCAGGTTTACTTTTACTTTTACTTTTACTACTTTTACTAGGTAGGCACCTTTAAACATCGACTGAATATTGAACATGCATTGAAGATATATTAATATCCTAATATCCTAATAACTTCTGCAAATACTTCATCGCCCATACTAATAATAAACTCGTCTTTGACTCAATTAATAATGCCTTTGCGGCCCGCTCCTTTCCACCAAAATAGATCTTGTCACTGCACTGCTTGTTTATCCGTGCGCATATAAATTTGAAGCATTGCATTGCACGTGTTTTTGAAGTCGAAACGAAGCACGCTACAGATCATCAACCTCTTGTCATGGTATTAGGATTTATACTGGTCATATACTCGAGAGCTTCATTGTAAGAAAAAAGTGATATTATTTTGATATCTTCCTCAAAAACAAAGCCTTTGACTTCACCCAATCCAACCATGGATATCGATCAAGATTCTCGAATTTCCGCCGCATATACAACGCGTCTAGATCAAACCCTAAAGGATCTTCACGATCGAGTCCAAGAGCAAGAAGAGGCACTTGACAAGGTCGGTTTCAATATCCTTCCTCTTACTATTTCCAATCCCAAATTAACAATCAATCAAGCTCCGTGCAACCACATCAACCCCAGTATCTGATGGACCATCACAAGATCCTAAAATTCATCTCTACCAACTCCGCGCTCTAAAACAAGCCTATGATTCTTTCTCCGCCGAATCTCCATACCTTCCACCGCCAAAATCCGTACTCCCTGCACTTCTCGCCTATCGAACTACCTCAACCTGCATCCAAGAAACTCAAGAATGTATAGCCAGCACCTCACATGACCTAACCACCACCGTATCTCTCCTCCAAAAAGAAAAGTCGGATCTAAAAGATGCTCTGGCCATTCAAACCAGTCTCCAGAACCGTATCATCGCCCTCACTTCTCAACTAGAACAACAAACTCAAAAATCCCCCTCTCAAATAGCATCCGAGTTAAAAACCACCCTCGAAACCGGGAAAAAACACTACGATACAGAAACCAATCAATTAGTCCGAGCATTCAATTCTTTCATCAACTCAAATCTCGCCTCTATGTTAGCAGCCGAAGAACTAGGTGGACCAATTGTAGGGGAAATGCTCGACATAACACCCGAAGCCCTCATCGCCGGTTTTAGCACCCAAGGAAAACCCAAAAAACCAAAAGAAAATCCAAACATGGATAAACGCCAACGAAGAATCGATGAAATATGGGGTCCTAAACCTTCAGTTGACGAAAATGAAGAAGATGAAGAAGAAGAATGGAGTGAAACACGTGCTGCTGGTGCAGAAATGCGGGAACTAGCTGAGCAGTTATTAAATGGTTTATTAGAAGCTGATGAACATGGTACGAATGGATATGTAACACTTGAGAGGGATAGTGCAGCAGCGAGATTTTTGGTCAGGAGTAAAGTCGCTCAGTATCATTTTAAGGATGCGAGGAAGTTAAAGTTGATCGATTTCGAAAAGGATATTATCTAATAGATGGTTTGTTAGTTATATAGGTAAATGATATGCTATTAGAGTGATCACACTATGGTTCCAAATCCTACAATTGTCTTTCTTATAAGACTAGCAAGAAAGCTCCCCAACTTCAATGGTTACTTGACGTCTAAATTCATTTCTCCTCCCTCTCTTCCCCTTCCCCATCTCAATACCCATACAAGCGAACACCTCAAATCTTATAAATAGGTACCAAATACTTCATTATCTATAATTCATGTATAACGTTACATAAATCTCTGTGTAGTGTTGTACGAATACCCGTTCATATCCATGATTACGCCATCTTTCCTTCTTTCTATCTTGCTATTCTTCCCATCTAGCCATTATACACCCTCTTCCTACTCCTCCCTTCTCATTCCTTTCATCCCATATACCATTACCCATTTCCATTCCATTTCCATTTTCCACCCCATTCCTCCTTATCCTCACCTACCATTTCCTCCTCTCCTCCTCCTCCTCCTCCTTCTCTCTCCTCCTCCTCTCCTCCTCTCTCCTCTCCTCTTTACCAAAATGCAACATAGGAAAATCACATCAATTCTCCTCTTCTTCCCTCTCTGATTCTTTCCAATCTCCTACCTATATAAAACAAATCACACCAAACCACACAAGTCACACAACACAAAACATCAAATTAAAAAAACAATCCACAAATAAAAACCACTATTTCACATTCCCTATCCCTACGCTAGCTAGCTAAGTAACATCTTACATATACACCCCTCCTAATCCCTTCCCTTCCCTCCCTACCAACCTTACCAAAAGAATTCCCAATTTTCCTTCGCACTTTTCGCCCTCAAGCGCACGAAACCAAGGTACCAAAGAACGCCACCCCCATATGATGTAAATTGGATATGTGAAACGCCCGACTAAAAACACAAGTACACAAGAAAATCAGATCATTAATGTACCAATATACTCCATCCATCCCTATTTTCAGTTGAAGAATAAAGTCGAAAAAGTGAAAGAAGTTAAAGAAAAGTCGAAAATGTTCCCGCCCCTTCTCCATTTCGGTAAATATCCACATCGCGCCCATATCCACACCACAACCAACCACCCTTCTATACCTGCTCAGCAGTTCATACATTCCAATACATCTCACTTAGTCCTCCCGAAAAGATGTCTCTTGTGGCCATCCTTCCCCCCCTTCTTAGCACTCGGCGAACCACCCACATCATCTTTTCCATCATCATTATATTTGGATTTATAGATCCTGTTTTGTGTTAGATATATTCAATAACCCAGTCTTCCCCAATATTATTTCCATGCATTTCCCACTTTCTCTTCTCACCACAAACATATCAAAAAGTGAAAAGAAATATAAACCTACCAACTATTCCCAATCATACTAATCCCTTTACTCTCTGCCGCACGATAAAACTTCGCACTCTTCATCAAATCCTTCTTACACCCCACTCCTTGCGCATAACAGAATCCTGCTTCGGCTAAAGCATCACCATCACCCCAAGCTATTCAGACATATTAGTATTTCTCTCAAATCTCGCAGCTCTCTTCCGCTGAAAAATTATGCCGAAATATAAAGATAAAAACTTACTTCCAGCAATCTCAAAACATCTCAAGGCTAGAACCTTATCCTGCTCAATACCCCAACCATTCATATGGCTTACGCCCAATTCATAAATACTAAGCGCAAATTGAGCTTTTCTAGTCTTTCTCTCCAGAGCATCGACAGACTTTCCATCCTTTGCTGTATCCTCATCATCCGCGACCTCAAGGCTAGCTGAATCTACAGCTTTTCTCAACCAAGCTACACCTTCTCTCTGATTTGGTCGCATACCCCAACCATGTCTACATGCAAGCGCATACAGAAGCATGCCTGTAGGATGATTCTGTCTAGCCGCTAGGCGTAAATGATATGTGGATTTAGTCAAGGATCCCGCTTCATGAAATTCAATAGCTCTCGCAACATGTTCCTCTCCTGACATTTCTGCCGATGGAGCTAGCGAATGTTGCGATCGAGCTTTGATTGTAGTGTTATTAGAAGAGACGACTGATGGTGCGCGATTATCATTTTGTGCTCTATCTTTATGCAAAACAGGTGGCGCATCAAATGGTGATGGATGATGACTAGGATCCGTTAAGCTTCGTCCTCTTTCCGCCAATTTTGTAGGTTCTGGAGAGCCTTGTTCTAACGTAGGACGTACATCTGGCCTGCGAGAAGTTGCTGGCCGAGAAGGAGGTGATGGCGGAGGTCCGCCTTCAATAGTTTGGGTATTGCTCAAGAAGGCAGGTGGTTGCTGCTCAAAGACAAATTGTGATTGTGGTTGACCTTCTTGAAAAATTGCCGAGTTTCTTTGTAACATCTTGCCTCTTGGAAGAGAAAACTTTGAATATACGTAAGAAGGTACAGCACTATCACCAAGGAGATTATTGTCCGGAAATTCTTCACTGTGCATACTGACAGGAGTATGAGCAGTATCATCCGTGAGAATAAATGAAGGTTGGCTGTCAGAAGATGCTTGTCGAGAAGGTGCCGGTTTGTCCTCGGCTGGATGATTACTGGATCGACTAATGGGTCGAGAGAAGTTGAAGGCGGGCCTGGGCAGATGTGTGTGATCTACAGAATATTCGGAGCTCACTGATGGTGATCGTGGTACTGAAGAAGGGTTCGAAGGAGAGTTGGGTGTACTTGACATGGCACTTGTTGAGGATAGTTTGCGCTGAGGAGAATTATGTGATAATGAGTGGTCATCATCTGAGCTTTCTACAGACATCGATCTGGGACTAGGTGCTCTTTGTGCAAACGGTGCTCGCGGTGGTGCTAAAGCTCTTGGGCCATAACCACCTACGGCTAAAGTCCCATCTGGTCCTCTAAGTGCCCGTTGGCGCATTGATTCCTGGCTTGGTCGTGATAATGCATCCGAAGGTGATCGTCCAGGTCTAGGTGACCGTGACCCTCTATATGGACCATCTGAAGGGGATCTACCTGGTCTACCCATGCGCCCTTGGTGAGGGGCAGATGGAGAACGTTCCGGCCTAAGTGATCGATCATTGTGAGGACCAGACGGCGAACGACCTGGTCTGGGCGATCGTCCAGATCGGTTATGAGGAGCAGAAGGAGATCGCTCGGGTCTAAGATTACTACGCCCCTGATGTGGAGCTGAAGGTGAACGAGAGGGTTGTGGAGATAAACGGCCCCGATAAGGAGCATCAGATGGTGACCGTCCAGGTCTATGTTGAAGCTGTCTGCGGTCTTGATCTATAGGCGCTGGCGAAAGATCCCTCCTAGCCCCAAATATGCCCTGGTCTCTCGGACTTGGACTTGGCGGTGCCATTCTGCCTCGAAATTCATCTTCCTTTTCGGGAATTATATCGAATACTGGAGCGTCTGGAATCTTTCCCACCTCAGGATGTACGGAAACTGGTCTAAATATAGGCGCCTCGACCTCTGTTCTCTGTTGTCCCGGGCCAGCTGATGCAGGAGAATCAGTAGGAGACGACTGGGACAAGTTAGATTCAGCACTAGCAAGTCTCTCGGCAGATGCAGATCGTAGACCTCCGAGTCGATTTTGACCGAGAGAATTCGCGATTGTGAGCGGTGGCAGACGACTTATGCGCTTTCCTCCATTTGTACTTTCATTTAATTGCCTGGCCAAGAGTCGACTTTGCGCCGCAAAAGCATCCAAGGGTGAAAGTTCGGGTGGAATATCTCCAGCTACGTGTAAACGGGGCGATGGTAATGAGCGCAGTGATGGGGATGGTAATCCCGTATTGCCAATACCCATGGGCCCATGCGATTGCGATCGAAGGTCAATGAAAGTAGGTCTGGTAGCCATATCGCCGGTTTGTCGATGACTTCTTATGTCCCAATTGCTCTATCCTTCCCATGAGTTTGTAGATAATTCCAGAAATCTTGAATGGTATTTTGAGATGAATGTGCGATTCTTCGTAGATTTATTGTCCCTGTTGATTCGGAGGATGAAAGACGTTGTGGCTGTAGTAGATATGATCGAAGAAGGGTCATCAAGCGTTTGAGAGATGGAGATGTTAGTGAATGAGGAGGCGCAGTCAAACTTCTCGTAATTTTGGGTATGGAGCTGCCAAATATGGAATTGAATGTATGCGATAAAGTAAGGAGATGGTGACGGGCCGTGTAAGAATAACTTTTTGAAAGATCCAAGGTCGAAAGTAGAAAGTCGAAAGAGCGAAGTCGTTAAAAAAAGTTTGAAAATGACGAATGTTATGGTATTGAAGTGAAGTGAAGTGAAGTGAAGTGAAGTGAAGTGAAGTGAAGTGAAGTGAAGTGAAGTGAAATTGAGTTGAACTGGTAAAATGAAGGAGTGAATGAGCTTTTACGATTGGATGTAACGTAAGATGAAATGAATGTATCTCGGGATTGAGCAAAATGGGAGTTGATTGATTGATTGAATGGTGGATGAATGAATGAATGAATGAATGAATGAATTGCGGTTGGCTTTTTTTAATTGATAAACTTGGCGATGTTCAACAACGAAATGTTACAAAATCGATACGATGATGTATAATATTGTAATTCTCTCTCGCTGCAGTTCCGAACGAGCATCATTTGCAGTTCCTCTCTGCCTTTGGTAATTTCCTTTTCTTTGTTTTTCCCTTTCCTAGATATCTTCCCTCCAGATGTTGTGATCCCCGAGATGCAGGATCAGAAGTGATGGATTGATTGATTGATTGTTGGTTTCTAAGGGATATCGTTATTGTGGAGTGTGCCCCTGGAAGAAGAAGATTCCGATGATGATGATGATTGGAAGATGTAAAAATAAAAAGAACATAAAAGTTTAAGGGTCCCCCAAAAAAAGAAAATAAGAAAATAAGAAAATAAGAAAATAAGAACGAAAGTCGTTAACAAGCCAAACCTTCTCGTATCACGAATTTTAGTCGTGTTGGGAAAGAAGAGGTATACGATGGATGGCTAGAATAGTAGATAGGATAAGAAGTAGTAGTAGGTGATATTGGCTAGGCCTTTCATATCTAGTGGTAACTTTGCAGAGCACAAAATACTTTGTAGATGGATGTAAAATTGTGAAGAGGTTGAAGAGGTTGAAGAGGTTGAAGATGTGAAGATGTGAAGATGTGAAGATGTGAAGTGAAAGGTGGATGATAGACGAGGTGGATGATAGACGAGGTGGAGGGTGGTAAGTGGAAAGTGGAGAGGATGATAATACAGGTAGGTAAGAATAGCCAACGGAGATTCAAAAGCGATCAAAAGAACGGGAATCTCTCCTTTAGTTTTACTGATGTTGATGTAAGATCTTATGATGATAACCTCGTAAGTAAACATCTAATACTGATCACGGTCACGGTCACGGTCATAATGGAGCGGAGAGGAAAGGAAAGGAAAGACATCACACACATCACACACACATCAGACATCAGACATCAGACATCAAACATCAACATCACGAGAAGGAGAAGAAAAATAAAAGAAGCCGTGAAGATTTACACATGACCCTTACCCTAATTATGATTTATATTAAATAGATCCACTTCATCTACCCGCTCCTACTTTAAAACCCCAAGTGAACTAGAAGGAAATGATGCTAATAATAAAACATTCCACAGTACGGTATAGTAGGTACCAACTTATAACTTCCATTGCTTAGACATGTTTTTCATTCTGGTTTATTCGTCCCTTCATTTATTGTAGAAGACAGTTGTATATTCTCAACAGGGTGGAGTTGACATCATCTACCATCGACCATTTCCAGCTCCGACGCAAAATATCAAATATCATCTCCAAGGGGGCCGAGGTTATTAAGTTGACAGGTTCCTGACTAATACTCATTAGGAACAACTTCAGAATGATTGCATACGGGAAGTACATGTACATACTGCACTCCATATATTTATCTGACGAACCCACGAACCCACGAACCCACGAACCAACAAACCAACAAACCAACAAACCAACAAGCTTACATATTAGAATCCAAAAAAATCATATTACATGCTTTTTTCTTCTCTTAAGCTTATCACGATGCATATTCTCGTATTCACATTGGACATTCCAACTTATTCTATAGCTAGATTCGATCAGACCTTCAACTGGCTAACCCGATATCGATATATCAACTAACTTAGCTTGATCTAAACACAAAAATGATACGATGCGCTACGATACGATACGGTATGATATGATATGATAAATACCAGAAGAATCCATTCATCGCATCGACATCCCTCTCCCCAGATCGTACTCAGATGCTCCAACTAAAATCGAACATTCACTCCTTGAAATTCCTATCTATGCTCATCCCCCTACCCACCCACACATCAACACCATACCATAAAAATCCCCTCTCGTATCACAACTCGCCCTCAAACTCCCCACCCCCTTCTCACATATCCGTATCCTTTCCATATTCGCTTCCACTTCCATCCTCCCGAACCCCTCAAAACCAATCAGTCAGTTATACATACTACCTACATAATATACCTATACAGAAAACATCCTATGCTATACAATACCATAACCGCCCCTTCATCTAAACCCAAACACCACAATCAATACCTACTCTATAAACTATAAAATCACAACACAAGCTCTGAATATTAAATATTAAATATTAAATATTAATCCCAAGTCCATCCAGCCCCTCATCTCAACAAGATCGATCGATCCATCCGCCGGAAAAATAAAATAAAAAAGAGAGCTACCATTCACTCCCGTTATTTTCCTTAATAACCTTAACCTTATTATTGTAACTTAACAATTTATTCTTCGGAAAAACTCCCGGCTGATAAATCTATACATCTTTAATTATTATTATCTGACAAGATAAAAAATTAATATTTTTCTACTCTTAGCATTTATAAACGATTACCATTCCGAACCATTCCATATATTAGTTACAACAAAACCATCTTTTAATGCATTTGTATTTGTATTTGTATTTCCCCAGATTCAGGGACCTCCCTACCCTCACCCTTCCTACCCTCACCCTTCCTACCCTCACCCTTATAAACCCCCCAAATAAAATAAATCTTACATAGGGTAGGTAGGTAGGTAGGTAGGTACAAAAAACATACAGCATAACATGCATATCTCCTCTCCTCTCCTCTCCTCTCCTCTCCTCCTATTTCTCATTTCTCACCTCTCTACTCCCCTCTATTCATACTCACCGCGTCAACAACCACCTTACCCGTAAATATAATCAACGGCTACCATACTTACCATACCAGGTTTCTTAACTTCTCACCCCATCTTGAAACGCTAGTCACCCCTTTCGGTTTTGATCTTGCATCCCTGTCTCTATCTGTATGTTACGTGACAGGGCAGGCAAATCTTACATTTCCCATACATACACGAATGCACGAATGACGAGCAGACATCGGGTTCTTCCCCGTACCTTCTGTGTTTCAAAATCGTGCCATTCAAGTTGATTTACACAAGATAGAATATATTCTACAAAAGATTTTATATTCGCTAACCCCGGAAAATATCTATTTCCTATATTCGATATACAAAGCCTCACCCTTTAAACTCCTATACCATGCCAAATCCCAAGCCGCAATAATTAGACACACCCACCAACTACAAATTCTTGGATTGCATTTTCCTTAATCTAGTTGCACCTTCATATACGCCGCGGTCTACTGCTGCCGCAACTGTTAATGTACCTCCGACAATTGCACAGAGTCCTGTCAAGAAGCCTGCTAACGTTTTGGTTCGTTCTTCCTTGTTAATAACTTTCATTGGTGAGATATCCTGATCATCATTAGTATACCATAAAGCATAGGAATCTCGAGGAAACTTACATAAGAGAAGAAAACACCTGGAATTCCACCACGCGCATGTAACTTTTCCTTGTGACCTTCAGCGGAATCATCCCCACCGTTGAGACTTCGACGATGGCTAGTAACGGAATATTGATGAGTTTCGACACTTCCATCTTCAGAATGTCCATAGGTTCCAATTTCCACGCTCGCATCATGAGGCGGGCTGTTGTAGGTTTTTTCCCAGCCAAGAGGAAGATAAGAAGTTGAAACCACCTTTACGAAGTACATGAAGTTGTAAGCAGCCTCATGCGTGATTTGTTCCGTGTTATCAAGGGGGTTCAAGTGATGATTGGTCCATGGAATAATGGAATCCGAGCCCAATTTCTTGGTAACCTCCTCTGGAAGCTCTGGTCCAAATCTAAGAGAATGAATATGATGAGAGAAAACATGGCCACCGGGAACTGGGGTATCGAAGTAGTTGTTGAGATCGTGAACGTGCATATTTCCATTGGTAAAACTGCGTCCAGGAGCGATGTGGAAATTTCCAATGACCTTATTTACTCGCAGACCACCTTCAATGCGACAACCTTCCTTGCGTTGTGAATCCAAACGTTCACCATAATGTTCACGCTCGCATTGTTCTACGTTCTCTCCTCGACCAAAAGCCCATGAAACTGACGCATATGCTTCTCGTACTTCGTCACAAGTATTGCAACATCCTTGCTTCTTCGCATTCGGAGGAGGGGTAGCACCATAACATGGACCGCAGTAATTGGGATCAAGATGAGTTGCTGCCTCATCTGCATTATGACTACATGATATCAGTCATCATTCAATGGCACAAGGCAGAAAACATACAGATCCAAAGCAGTAGTATCAATCACGTTACCTCCCTCTTCTTGAGCAGACAATCTAACCTTCTTAACTCCATGCATAACACCAACTTGTTGTTCTCCGGAAACATCCATTACATCCAGTGTCAGAAGTTCGCAAGGAATTTTTGGAAAGGTAATATTTAAATGAATTTCCATCTTTTCACCTGAAGAAACATGACCATTAGTATTCAATCCATGGAGTCCCGAGAGCTTAAAAAATTAACATACCTCTTCCCTTGTCAACTACGAGCTCAGGGTGTACTGTTATCCTCCTGTAATCCGCCCATTCTCCAAAGGCCAAATACAAGACGATTAACAATGAAGCTATCGTCACAATTCCTCCCGAGGTTGTGCGCACTCTTGCTTCATCGACGGTCTTAGTAAAGGCATCTAGCCTGGTAAATCTAGATTTCGCCGGCATTGTGTAAAATGTTTTGTAAACTGTATGATGACTGTGTTAGGCGGAGTAGCCTTGCGGCATAAAACTGGATTTTGATGATCTCTCAGAGATAATATGAGTACCCCAACTTTCAATTGATAGGAATTTATAATTTGCAATTAATGAAATGTAAAAAATCAAAAAGAATGAATGATCATATAAGAGGTCTTTCAAAGGCCTTACGGGTAGAGCGTCCAATTGATTTCAGTGGACAGTGAGAAGATATCTTAGTAGAAAAGTCTCAGTCGCATTTTCAATTAAGGACAGCTTTCAATGAATGGATTTGCTCCTCGGTTTATTTTAGTGCCGCCCCTCTTGTTGCACTTGTCGAATCTGCAGAGGGTCTAGTCCGTAAAGGGTAAAGTGTGAAGCAATGTTCATGCAGGGAAAACTACCTAGGACTTCTGTACGCGCAACACAGACCAGCCGGGTCTGACCGACACGACCGGACCTGACACTGACACTGACCTTTCATTCTCACGACCGGACCTGACACTGACACTGACCTTTCATTCTCACGATGACTCAAGCGTACAGTAGTTGCCTAGTAGTATCAGTGCTCGAGACACAAATTGATGGTATATGATACTTGTGCCATCAAGTGCAAATGCTGTGTAGATATATATGAATACAACCTAGCGGATACAATTCCCCTTTACGATAGACAGTCAATTAGCTATTGTATGAGTTACTACCTAGCTACACCAGCGATATTAGCTTGTACCTGCCGACCTTAGCCTCATGAGCGTTTATACTTGCCCCGTTCTGCGACTCGCTGCCCCGGACTATCGACTATCTACTGCAGCTTTGGTTTGATATTTATTAGTGCCTGGGGCATGACATGTCTACCAGCCCTCGGCACAGCCTTGTCGGTTCTTCGTGAGGCCAAGTAATTGATAGAGGGGTTGAAGAAAAAGTAGATGATTCTGAATCAGACACACTAGATGGAAAATCGAATACATAGCATGATCCTAATCCTACCGTCCAATATATATCAAGTTAGTCACCTAGTAGACACTGGAAATCATGCGCTTAAATGATGCAAGAGTGAATCATTTGTACAGCACTACCACCTAATAGGCAAAAACTTAGCAGGGCTAGACAATTCCACTCGAGTTAGTTTCAGCCTCGCTTACGTTAGCTTTCAATGAAGAACTTCCTAGTTGCTTCTTCAACTCTTTATATCTCGAACAAACCTCTTTTTCTTTCACTTCTTCACAATCAACTCAAATCATTCAAAGTAACAAGTTAAACACAAATCAACACATCCAATACATTCCAAATCTTCCCACACAATCGTTTGTATTGGAAAAAGGTTCATATTTTACGATTCACCGTTTCTTCTAAGAGACATCTACCACTCCTTCGAAAAAAATTCGTATCTTCAAGATACGTCATAACAACCATCAACAATTTGGATCGCACACTTTGCGACTTGCGATATTGAACAAACTATACAAAAACACATACGACGATTCTAATCAAAAAGACGTCAAAATGATGAACCGAACATCAGCGCCTCCTAGAGGTCCGCGAAATTCGTCTTCAAGCGCAAGAGGTGGTGGTCGCGTGGGTGGTGGGGGAATTTCAAAACGACGAGGGGGTCCTATTCGAGCCGATAAAGATGGGGATTTGGATATGGATACTACGACGGGCGCAAATGGTCGCAAGGGTGGAAAGGGAGCCATTGGAGGTTCTCTTCCAACTGGACCGCGCGGACATGGTCGGGGAGGTGCAAGAAACGCTGGTCGTGGTGGAGGAAGACTCGACGTCACGCGAAACCCACAAGCCATTCTCCGAGGCATGGGATCGCAATCGCAACAAGCCAATGTATTGGTCACTCTTTGGATCAAAGGGCTGAAGGGAAGTAAAGCAGCTTTGAATGATGATCAAGGTCTCTCGTCGTTAGTGTCATTTATCGAGCGCAAAGCTACGACTTTGGAATCCAGGTCAAAGAGATGTGTAAGAGTCAAAAAGGTACGTTCTTATCGCCATGATTTGGGGATCATGAGTTCCATTACGCTGTCGTCGTAATATCCCGCTCTTGCTAAGTCAAGCTCACTACAACGAGTGGAGGATCGACACTTTCGCTTTACCACTTCGTGATTCGCGGACGATTTCAAGATCATCTACATCTTACTAACTTCGGATAGTCACATAAGAAAGGTGACATCGTTGTTATCTCAGTTACTCCGGAAGATGCAGCCACCATCATGAAGTTGGATGGGTTTGCGTTTGCCGGATCAACGATTGGAGTTCAAGACAGCGAGCCATCGAAGATGTCAGAGCAGAAGGAAGAGTCTGAGGAGGCTCGGTCAACTCGAGAGAAGATTCAGGCGGTTCTTGCAGCTCGATACGATACCAACCTCAAGCTTTTAAACCTCTCGGCTTTGGGACAAGACGAGCAGTTGAAGCAGATGGGAATCTTCCAAGATGACACTCTTGTCACCAAACTTTTCCCAGTTTTGATGGTCATTTGCAACAAATTGTTCACCACCCGACAAGCTAAGAAAGACGCCATAGTCAGTATTACTTTGACCGACAACTACCTAACGGATCTCTCCAATATCACCTCGTTGGCTTCAACATTTCCTGATTTGAAGAATCTCGATCTCTCCCGAAATCAGTTCGCTAGTTTGGAATCCCTAAAATTATGGCGGTGGAAGTTCCGAAACCTCGAAAACCTCGTCTTGTCAGGCAACCCTATCGAAACGCTCGTTCCAGATTACACAACTGAGGTTGTACGATGGTATCCAGCACTTCAACAATTGAGTGGCGTCCAAGTCAGAAGTGTTGCTCAAGTTGCTGCAGATCTCGAGGCTATTAAAACACCATTCCCAATTGCTAGCCCATCTTTCCGAGATGTCGGACAAGTTGCTGAAAACTTTGTCAAACACTTCTTCGGGGCTTACGATAAAGATCGCAACCTCTTACTCAGCAATTTCTACGATACTGGATCCGCATTCTCACTCATGGTCAATATGTCAGCAGTACGAGATCATGATCACTCAATGCCTGTCCCACCATGGGTGGCATATAACAAATCTAATCGAAATTTTGTCAAATATACACACCTATCTACTAGAATATCTCGGCAATCTACTGGTATTGAGGAAATACAAGAAATGTGGAGCGATTTACCTAAAACATTACACCCCGACATCGCTACACGACCTGATCTATACCTTGTCGAATGCCAGCCTATTCCAGGTCTCCCTGATCTTTCTGGACAGAGCGCTACTGGGGTTGATGGTCTCCTCATTGACGTACATGGCGAATTTGAGGAGGATGTTGCCAATTTTGAAGGAAAAGCTCTGCGAAGCTTTTCACGATACTTCATTCTTGGTCCCGGAGGACCCAATGGGCCTCCTATTAGAGTTATCAGCGATATGCTTTGCCTTAGAGCTTGGGGTCCTTTGCCTCAAATTGCAGAAGTGTTTGTGCCTCCAAAAGTTCCAATTGTTGCGCCGCTTTATGACACTCTGCCCACTGGCGAGCAACTGAACCAAGTACGTGCTGAAAAACTTTCAGCTAAGACTGGCATGAATTTACAATATTCGGCTTTGTGCTTGGAAGAGACGGGATGGGATTTGGACAATGCCTTTATTGCTTTCCAAGCCAACAGAGCAAATTTACCGGCGGAGGCATTTCAAAAGCCATGATTTGACAGGAAAGGGGGAGGTCATCAGCGTCGGAGTTTTCTTTACGGATTAAAATATTAAGAGATGAATGGTGGCAGCATTTTTGATGAATTGAAGGTTATAGCAGCATTGCACTGTGGAGTTTTTTTTTTCTTTTAGGGTTTTCTTGGGTCCGAATCGCAAAACTGTTGATCTCATCAAGAAATGATGTATGATCAAGCGATTCTCAGCGCGAATGGAGTTTATGGGTTACATACATACAGTTGTAAAAACGTATGTTTAGCGATTTTTTGATTAAAGGGAGGCATACATGCATATTGCATATTGCATATTGCATATGGATTATACACATTCAGAATTTTGATTGTGTACTTGGCGAGTGTAAAGGAAAGAAATTTGTAAATAGTTTCAATAGCGAAGTGTCTTGGTACACAAATAGCGAATTATACAACTTTAGTTTTTAAATCAAGCCTTGTTTTGTTTTGTATGATGTGATTCTGAGGATTTCTTTGATGTACGTACAAGTCTTTAACGCTACTACTCACTCTAAGTCTGGCAGTAGAATTTTAATTTTACAAGGACAATACAAAACCTCGAACTCTCAGCTCATAAATTACCGATCGGGATGGATAGAAGGTGTGTAGATTAGTTGCTGTATATAATGTCATGATATAATATAACTTCTCCTCTTTCTACCTACTATTTATCAACATGATTTGGGAGTAGAGCGGAGTAGAGTAGAGAGTAGAAGAGGAAAGAGGAAAATAGATGTACAGTAACTACCATAAATGATATAAAGGGGCTATTTCTCGCTTATATATACTCGAGGATAAAATTGTGATGTATAGCTTCTATCTAGTTTTCTAGCTAATTAGCTTAGGGAGTTGGAAGTATATACTAGGTATGTAATGCTTTTGTATGTGAGATGTTTTTTAGGAAGCTTTGAGATGAATTGTCGATGGATGTGTGTGTGTGTGTGTATGTATGTTGTTGGTTTTTGTGTGAGGGGTTTAGTTGATTTGAGCTGGTGAGTTGGTGATTTGATGGTTGATTTGATAGATAGTTTATAATACTGAGGGGGTCAACTAGTTGAGAGGAGTAGAAGAATAAGTGATCAGGTAGGATAGATAGATATCGATGGATTTAAGTAGATCAGCTAATTTTTTATACAACTGATCATCAACTAACTACCTGAATTCCTCATCATGTCAGTATCTCAGTTTCAGTATTATCAATAGTTCGAATATTGAAAAATATTCATCTTGAGTGTTTCATCCACTTCTTTTTTGCTTTTGGATAATTTCAGGCTTTTTTGTTATTACTGGAAATATATCCATGATTTCTGTATATATCATGTTTTAAATCCATATCCTAATTTTTATAGGCGTCTATCCATGAATAGATGTCTCTGTATCTTCATTTCTATTTCAACTTTAATTTATCTCAGCTCCTTTAAAAGACGGTCTCTTTCCTGCTTTTTACCAATACTTTCTATACACTCGCTCATCAATCACTCCTCTTCCTTTCAATATCTTTATATTCTTTCTAAACACCCTCATTTTTCATCTATGTTCTCTTCATTTCCATTTCCATTTCCATTCACACTCATCCCTCACTTCTAGAATTCAAATCCTCCCTGCCAGCCCGTCTTAACAAACATCCACCCCCTAAACCATCCCTAAAACTACACTTATATTCAGCATCTCAGCATGTCAGTCTCATGACAATCATTATTACCATCCCCTTATCCTATTTTACCCATCACCTCATCCCCATACTGATATCACAAATCATCCCATCACCCCATAATATTCTTCCAATTCTGTAGTTCAAACTTCACCCCCAGCTTTAGAGGTCAAACACTTCAAAATTTTCTATCATAATAATTGAATAAATATCTATGTAGATATGCCAGAAAATCATCCCAATTTCCGGTGAATTTGTTTAGGCGATAGGAGTTGAGGAGTGAGACTTGTGGTACGTAATGTAGATGAGAAAGAGAAAAAGGAGTAGAAAGATATAAAGAAATACTTAAAAAAAATCAGAGCCCAAGTAGTAGAACTTCCTTTCCTCATTTCTACCTCAAAGAATATCTCTCTTAAAACTGAGAAGATTTATAGAGTCTAAATAAACATTTTTGTTTTATCTAATATCCATTATCCTCTACTCAATCTCAAATACCTCAATCTGAATATGGAACTTAACCTCCATCCCCAGTTATCTCACGCATCTAGTCATCTAACTCGATTTCATAGTATGTCTTATTATATGATTATAAGAACATATCTACACATCAACGATATTCCTCATGCCCAGTATATTCTATCTATTCACGTATTCATCCCTCAATTGACCATGAATCTCAATCCCAATCTCAACAACAACACCACCTGTCATCCACACACCCACGGCCTCCCATCATCTCCATCCACAGTTTAAATACCCCAAATCAGAAATCACAAACCACGATAAAGACACAGGGAAACCACAAACATAAACCTAATACAAATAAATGCCTCTTCTGTTCTCCCCTCTTCTCTCTTTTCTCCCTTTCTCCTCCCTTCTTCCCAACCCTCTAAATCTATAACTTAAACTTAAACATAAATACACGATATATAACACATCTCAAACCTTTTACTTTTTTTTTTCTTTTTCTTTTTTTCCTTTCCCTCAAAAGCAATTCCAAGACAAAACAAGACAACAAACCTCCCAAAAAAGAAAAGAAAAGATATTCTATAAATACTCATTGCAAGTCTTACTTGTAAAGTAAAATATTTATGTTTTCTTTCTTTATTACTTTTTTTGATTGGTGGGACGGGAGGGGATGTAAGAGATATAAGAGAGTAGTATATATCTTTAACGGAATAATTATTTCATGAAAACAGAATAAGACGATGATTATATATCATCTATCTATTCATCTATCCATCTAAAGAATGTTTATTCGCCAAGTGTGTATGTAGGAAAGAGCTAATCGATCGATCAATCGATATTGAAATAGACGTGACGCAGCTACACACTTGTGGAGCTGCAAAACCACAGATTGAACGGACTCGAGTTTCGGATAGGGGAGACAAATATGTTACACTCAAGTTTATACTTGACATAACCTATCTATAATATCATTCATTATTCATACTCATATTCATGTTCATATTCATACCCATTCAGTTAAACCTCCAGACCTCCCAACCATCCATAACAAGAATACCCAATCCTAACCCAACCCATCCTAACCCAACCCAACCCAGCCCAACCTAATCCAATCCAATCCAACCCGGCCATTGATCTTTGATCATTTCCTCAGAACATAACTTCATCATGATATCATTCATACGTAGGTATAGCAACCATCCCAAACCCCTTAACCCCTACTTTTACATACAACCCCCATGTACAACGCCAACCACAAATGCAAGCCAAATCATTATTTAGCATGCATAACAATTTCCGCATAAACATCATCTGGTATTTTCTTGATGATAGTAAGAGTAAATTCTTTAATCGTATCCGCTTGTAAAGGAGGGAAAGATCGGAGGATTTTTGTAGGACTTTTGACAGATGATTGTTAGCTAATCTATAAATAGTAGAAGAACTTCCTTGGATAACTTACCTAGGAGAACTCAAGATTGAATTCCTTAAAATGACAAGTTGTGCCACAATACAAAGGATATTAAGATGCGCACCATACGCAAATAAGAAATCCCAAAGACGGAGTACCTCTGGTAATGGCGGAGTACATGCGCATAAAGTGAGTACTGAAGGGAAAGCATAAATTTCAGCACTCATACCTTTACCAATTAAATAAAGACTCAATTTAGGATCAACAATGGCTAGCACTTTATCTACCAGCGCGAGTCCCTTGTGAACACCATCCATAGCACCTCTCACATATCCAGGAACTTCAGTTGTTATAAAGCGATGAAAAGCAACAAACGCTTCGGATTCGCTACGAGCAGCATAGAGAAATGGTGCAGCGAGTACATTCATGCCTTGAACATAAGTACCCGGTTCTCCAGCTCCTACATCAGAACCTTCGGTTGTTAAAGTCAGAGCACGAGCTCTAGATCTCATATGTGGTGATTGTGAACCTCGCTCAGGAGAACCTCGAATCGTTGCCTCGATGATTTTTCTATTTTGTATATTTCGAAAATCTGCTCGCGCTTCTTTCGCATCGTGTAATTTCCATGCTACTGCATTTAAAAGTCGGATTAAACTGGCTTCGCTGACACGACGTCGAAATAGAGGATCGGTGGCAAGGGTTCGGAAAGTATCATTTCGTATTTTGGAATATGCAGGAGATGCGCCGCGGTGGATGAGTGATAGATACGCGTCGGTTTCGAGAGGAGGGGCATTGAGTAATATTAACCAGATGTAGATGCGCAAAGAGGACTATCAAAGATATCAGTATTTATTGAGACAGATGAAAGAATTGACATACCATTCCATCACTATCACTCTTCACACCTTGATCCAATATCTTCAATCTCATACTCTCCAAACTACCAATTATATCTCCATCTGGAGGACCATCTCGAAGTAAACGATCCAACGACATGCTTTCGGAGGCGGTAAGATTTCTGTTGGCTGTAGGACGTCTAGCCATAGACGTTGGAACTGGGACCATATTCGTCACATCACTATTTGATCTTCCTCTGGAACGTGTTGTTGTTGTTGTTGTTGTTGTTGTTGTTGTTGTTGTTGTTGCATTTGAAAATTGAGTTGCATCTTTTGGCACGGGCGGAATAATCCTTTGTAAAGCTTGTTTATGTTGTTGTGCGATCAAGGATGGTTGATTAAATGTTGAACCTAATGTGTGGGCGGACTGTAATCTTCGTAAAGCTCGGCGCGGAGATGGTGGTGCAATGTGTGAAGCTTGATTTGAAGGGGCGAGGGTAGGGAATGGGGATGATTCTCTGGTAGGAGGTGAAGTTGCCATTTTTGTTATGGCATATTTTGATGGATGAGGAAGATGGTGATGATGATGATGGTGGTGGTGATGATGATGATGATAATTATAATAATTATAATAATTATAATATATTAATGATTAAATATTGAAATCCAAAATTGTGAATATGATCGAGTAGAGTAAACATAATCAATCATTCAAATATTGTTACCAAATCGTGTCACATATTGTACTGCGATCAATTTAAAATTGTTGCCATGTCAGCAGAAGTTCCAAGTGAAGTATGAAGTGAATTGAAGGGAAGTGAAGTGAATGCTGGGGCTGGGAACCGCGAATTTTCGTGATAATTCTGATCTTCTCAAGTTGGCATAAAAACAAAACATCACCAATGACAACCAAGTAACCTGTCAACCAAGCAACCTGTCTGGTACATAACTCCCTCTGTACATAACTTACCAAGCTTGAGAAGATATACTCGAGGAAATACTTCACCATACAACACATAGAAAGAGAGAAAGAGAGAAAGAAAGAAAGAAAGAAAGAAAGAAAATCAGAAAATCGTCATGTCCTTTTTCTGTCATATATCTATGACTTTGGACACCGCGCAGGCCGCATGAAGATCACATCACGTGAATGAGATATGATCGCTGTGCACGTGATATCAAAGCATTCATGCTTGGAGTCAAGGAGCCCAAGTACTTCAAGATGAGTATCTCAAGATCTCAAAGCCCTCGAAGCAAATAGTCAATGATCGAACAAGACTTTGAAGGGATTCTTGACATTTCAACTGTACGACTAAGTCATAAACCCAACTTTTTACTTCTTGTTATACTTTCATGATACATATTTGGGTCTTTTGGCAGACAGATCAAATTGGTAAGCGAAGAATACCTTCAAGGCATTGTGGCTGAAAGGAGGGTTTTTCTTCTATTTCCGCGGATCTTTCGCTGAGAGTAAATCTGGAGTCTCGAATCTCGACTACTCTCAAAATACCAAGTCACATCTTCATCCCATTTACAAATACAGTTCTCGGTCGCCTACCGAGCTTTCAGCCTCCAAGCCTTTAAACTCAAAGTTATATAAATTATACAGCTGATGTCTCATGATTTCTAAACTTTGCAGCCTCTTTTCCATTCTTATCGTATCTTATCGGATTGCGATCTTCATCCCTTCCATTGCATCATGGAGGGAAATGATGATTGGGTGAATTTACCGGTGGCTGATCCACCGCTTGCATCAACTTGGTTTGAGCTGCCCCTGTTGATGATTATAGGCGAGCGGGGTGGTGGTGCCGCGACAACTTGAAGACTTTGAAGATTTTGGAAGATTTTTGAAAGCTGATCTATGGATACATACTGTACAAAAGAAAGTGAATGAAAACGCCATATCAATAGTTTATTTCTTCATTTCTTCATTCCTTCCCGGTAGTCCTTGTACTCCTTGTACTCCTTGGCTCCATCTACACAATAGATTCCAGCTTCAGGTTCCAACAAACGTTTGAGTACCAAAAGATTCCAAGCTGTGAAAGCATTTCCTTTGTCTTCTACTCCGTACTGCAACCCTGTAGATCTCCCTCATTTTCGCTTCACGCTTATTGGAATGTTTGCAAAATCTAACCACTTTAAGCGAATTGCGTGCTCATCAACTACGTCGACATCTCCAATATTTTCCACTGAAAAGCCTACAACTTCATCTATCTGGTTCTGGATTTACAAGAGCTCCCCACTTCTCTTGGTCCTTGGGGAATTCTATAGGGAAGAATAGCTTAGATTCCAGGTCAAACCATGTGCAGAATGATGCTAATGATGCTAATGATGCTAATGATGCTAATGATACCAATCATGCTAATCATGATTATACTGCGTCTAGTCTGCCATAAAATATGATAAAATATATAGTTATAAAATATACAGAGTACCATGGAAATAAGAGATCTATGGGAAGGAAATAACCCAGTCTGCCCAGAGTATCAGAGTATAATTCAATTTCCCTGGTAAATGATTTCTCCATTTATTCGTACACCGATATTCTTTTGCTTACGTTTACATCTAAAAAGATCAATACAGAATTCAGCATACGTATGTACATCCTAGAAAGCCTTTTACAGAGCCCGGAGGGTGTCTTTGAAGAATCTCGAACCTTAACGTTTGAATATCTAAATTACTCCTCTATATCAAAAGAGCAGCCACTCGCCACCAATTGACGATCTCATAACCCGCATCCCATAACCATAGAATTTAACTGCTTACCAACTAAAATAAATACTCTGTATAAAACTCTTTTTACAATCAACATAATTACCATTACATTATCATTTTACAGGTACTTTCATCATTTTAGACTTTCATACATCGAATCGTTTATTTATTTTTGACCCATATCAACTAATCATATTTCTCCCCATCAGCACGTCCTCTTCCATTTTAAGCCAGCTCTCCCGCAAACTCTCTCAAGCTTGACAACTAGTTAAAATATTATAAACCCCAAACTCGAAGAATTTGCAAGCCCGTTACGCTTGGCTTTGCATTTACTACCAAATAATTCCCATTCGAAAGGTTTTAACTTCCTGGTCCGTCTAAGGCTACACAAGGATTCATTTATTTACCGAGTCGTTTCCTTTACTGTTTCTGTTCGATTATCTTTCATCTTATTCATCCACGAGCACGCAATACATTGGTGGCGCACCATTACTGCATGCTACCTTCTGGATCACGTCTTACCCTTTTGAGTATCTCCAGAACAAAAGCCTTTTTTTCTACAATTAAAAGCTACATTATTTACTCAAACTCTCGTACTTCATCTCAGTAGTTTCCATGTCAGACTACACTACTTTTTATTGAATACTCTTTTCGGATTGTCCGACACAAAGGTCATCTGATCCTGACCCACGGTCTCTGAGCAGACACGGCTATATCAGCCCTGCATCCGCTCACAAAAGTTATATATCTTGGATAGCCATCTGGGAGTAACTTGCAGATCACCCTGTCATATCTGGCAGTCGTCTATTTACACTCTGTATTTGTGGAATAGTCTTTTTCTTGTCCAGTTGATTTTTCGGTATCTTAGGTTTCACGGCAGAGAAATTCTCTAGCGATGGCTGCTACCAAAGTTGGCCATGGGCTGGCTAAAGTCCTCGGTATAAAACTCAACTATCGCGATGAACTCAACAGTCAAGAAATTCTTCGGGGAGAGTCAGTCTTTTCTATCCAAACAGCCGACACATTCGTAGAGGAAGAACCACGGAGTATAGAATGGATCCAGGATACACTACCAGGTCGACATGAACTCGCCGCCTACTTCCGATCATTATTCCCATTCTTAAGTTGGATCGGTAGCTACAATGTGCAATGGTTGTTTGGAGATTTGGTAGCTGGTGGGTAATGTCAAATACTCCTTGGCGGACATGGTCATTAATATCAATCAGGTATCACAATCGGTGCTGTCGTCGTACCTCAAGGTATGGCCTATGCTACTCTCGCCGAGCTTGAGCCTCAATTCGGTCTTTACTCTTCCTTCATGGGAGTTCTCGTCTACTGGTTCTTCGCCACATCCAAGGATATCACCATCGGACCTGTTGCTGTCATGTCAACTCTTGTCGGTCAAATTCTAGTAAAAGCAGCTGCCACTCATCCGCACGTTCCTGGTCATATTATTGCATCTTGTATGGCGGTAATTGCTGGTTGCATCATCGCTTTCATTGGACTCATTCGATGTGGTTGGATTGTCGATTTGATTTCCCTCGTCTCAATTTCGGCATTTATGACTGGTTCCGCTATCAACATTGCCGTTGGACAAGTCCCGACGTTGATGGGTATTAAAGGCTTCAACACTCGAGCATCAACTTACAAGGTCTTCATCAACACGTTGAAGCATCTTCCAGACACAAAACTCGATGCGGCCATTGGGCTTACAGCTCTTTTCCTGTTATATGCTCTTAGAGCTGTAAGCCACTACAATCTACACCCACCTGTATCACTGCTAATTATCATCTCTAGGCTTGTAATTATGGAGCCAAGAAATTCCCAAGCCGCAAGAGAGCATTTTTCTTCGCAGCAACCCTCCGAACCGTATTTGTTATCCTGTTATATACGTTGATCAGTTGGCTCGTCAATAGACATCATCGAAAGAAGCCATTGTTCAAGGTTGTCGGTACCGTTCCGCGAGGATTCAAAAACGCCGCCGTGCCAGAAGTCAACTCTTCGATTATCAACATCTTTATAGGTGATTTACCTGCCACTGTCATTGTTCTCCTCATCGAACACATCGCAATCTCTAAATCATTCGGACGTGTCAATAACTATATCATCAACCCATCCCAGGAGATGGTAGCTATTGGAGTCACAAACATTCTTGGCGCTTTCCTTGGTGGTTACCCAGCTACCGGTTCTTTCTCCCGTACAGCTATCAAATCGAAGGCTGGTGTTCGAACTCCGTTCGCTGGTGTCATAACTGCCGTCGTCGTTCTTCTAGCTATCTATGCTCTCACGGCCGTCTTTTTCTACATTCCAAGTGCAGCTTTATCTGCAGTCATCATTCACGCTGTGGGAGATCTGATCACACCTCCGAATACAGTTTATCAATTTTGGCGTGTTTCCCCTATCGAGGTTCTTATTTTCTTCGCAGGTGTCATTGTTACTATTTTCAGCACAATTGAGATTGGTATCTACGTAACTATCTCGGTTTCTTTTGCAGTTCTCATTTTCCGAGTTATTAAGGCCAGAGGTCGTTTCTTGGGTAAAGTTAAGATCTTTTCCGTTGGAGGCGAGACTGCCGAATATAGACCGGCACCCGTGGTTGACCATGGCACTTTCCCAAAATCTGAGGCCACTCACTTTGAAGACTCCGGATCTCGAACCGTCTTCCTCCCTTTCGATCACGGTGACGGAAGTAATCCAGAGGTTGATGTTCAAACTCCCTATCCCGGTATCTTCATCTATCGGTTCTCGGAAGGATTTAATTATCCAAACGCAAATCACTATCTCGATCATCTTACCAACACAATCTTCGCAACCACCCGCCGAACTAACCCTAACCATTATGCCCGTCCCGGTGATCGCCCATGGAATGACCCTGGTCCACGTCGAGGAAAAGCTCCTGAAGATCACAGTGATCGCCCCACCCTCAAAGCCATAATCCTTGATTTCAGCTCCGTCAACAATGTCGATATCACCTCCATCCAACAACTCATAGATGTTCGCAACCAACTCGACACTTATGCATCTCCTTCAGTTGTAGACTGGCATTTCACATCTATCAACAACCGCTGGACTAAGCGTGCTCTGGTTGCCGCTGGGTTTGGATATCCAACTCCTGAGGAAGAAGGATCGCACCGCTGGAAGCCCCTTTTTTCAGTTGCGGAAATGGGAGGAGAAGATAGTGCGGCGGCAGCAGCAGAAGCCGAGTCGAATGAGAAAGAAATCCGGGAACAGAGGCGCGAAAGAGAATTAAAAGCAAATGAAGACAAGATTAGTGGGGATAGTGAAAGTGGAAGTAGATTGAGCGGCAGTGATTTGAAGGATGTGTCGAAGAATGTTTCGAGATTGAGAACGGCTGTTGTTAACGGTCTCAATAGACCATTATTTCATATTGATCTCACGAGTGCGTTCCAGAGCGCAGTTGCGAACGTCAAGGCAAGAGAGGCGTTTGAAGAGCGAGGAGGTAGAGATACTGGGATTGTGGCTTAGATTTTAGGCTAGACTGGGGGTGTTCTTGATGTTTTATTTAGATAATTTTTTGGTCGTTTTGATACCACGATTGCTTGGATATGATGATATATGGGTGGCAGGATGTTGAATGATTGGACGGGCTGTTAGAATGGCCACGGACCAGATTTGGATTCACGTCCTTGATTAATATATGAAGTTTTGATATTATGTATATAAATTATACGTACATATACATATTTGAATATCGTACCGTGATCTAGGAGTCTCACTCAGGATTGTGAACTTGTGATGTATATGTGTAGATCTGCGCTATCAAGAAACTCATTAGCTACCCCTTCGAAAATTATAACAAAAACCAACATCATCCATCCTGGAACACCGAGGTAGCTATATATAATAAACAGTAGGCAAACAATCCCTTTGAAGATCAGCCCGTGATGTAATACATCGGTTTATACCATCTGAAAACCTATATACTAGGCTACTAGCTCTTCTTGAATAAAAATAGAACAAGTATCTATATTATCTCATCTCATCTCATCTCCTCTCCTCTCATCAAACGATCCAAACTATAATTTTATTTTATAAAGATAATATCACACTATCATATACTGTGGGCCTGCGCCCCTCGGACCACTGGCTTTTCAAGAAAGTTTTATGAAAATATAAGTTTTAAAAAATTTATAATAAATTTAAATATTGAATATATATCAGGGTGCAGACAGAATATCGGCTTGTTTTTGATAATTGAAAGTTAAAATATTTTATATTATTTATATTATTATTATTATTTTGAATTGAATAAGATGAATTGAATGATTTCAGAGTTGAATGAATAGAGTTGAATAATTTCAATAGGAATTGAATGAGTTGAATGATTTCATTAAAGTTGAGTTGAAAAAATCTCTAAGTCAGATTTGCCTAAGGTTGTAAGACTTATGCCAAGCTTTTTGTTAGATTATTTACCGGGGTATTTACCGGGGTATTTTAAACCAATCAGATTGTCAGGATCGCGACTCATTTTTCGATTAATTATATCACAATCTTAAGTGAATTTTATTTTTTATAATCTATACCGGATAAATCTTATATACAATAAGATTATAATATCGATAAGTTGATAATAAATATACAAAAGTTGTGAATAAGATAAAATAAAATAAAAAGTCTTAAATCTACTCATTGTATATTAAACGGAATTATATTAAAAATAAAGATTTTTTATTTTTTGGAAATTTAATTATTTAATTATATAAGTTTAATACTCTCTTTTTGGACTATCTTTAATATAGATTATTTTTTTATATCAAAAATCGTGATTTTTATCTATTAATAATTTTATAATCAATTAATAGAATTTGATGAAATTTTAATCGTAGATTCATTATATAATTATAACTCAATTCTAAAAATTTTAGATTTTTTAGAATTAATTTTATTGAGATTTATAATATTAAATTTTGTGATTTTTGATTTCTATAGGATTTATATATAAATCTACAAAATCTTTAAAATCTTGAATAACTTTTCAAAAAAAATAACGAAAAATAAAATATAAATTTTTTTCGAATATTTATATCATAAATGATCAGATAGGTTAATTTATTTTTAAAAATATTTTACGAAAATGTTTTTAATCAAAATGTTATAATTTTTAATCTTTACAAAATTTAAAAATATTAATAAATATTTAATTAAATTATTTAAAATTCAAAATATTAATTCATTCTATAATATTTAGTTTTAAAAATTTTAAAAAAAATTATAATTTATTTTTAGCAATTTTTGTTGAAAAGTTATTTAAGATTTTCAATATTTTCAAATTTGTATATAAATGTAATGATCTGGTCGAGGCAGCGGCTGTTTGAGGTTTTGTATAGTTGGTAGTTGTAAGTTAAGGTTAATAATCATTGGTTATTTATTCGAAGATAAATATATTATTAGATCAATTAGAATATAGATAAACTAATTAATAATTAAATTGAATACGAAGCTTCTAAATTATAAAATTATTCTGATTATATACTAATTTATTTTGGGAGCTTTCAAAAGTATGGATTCTTGTAAGCTCTTTAGAGCCTTCAAAAGCATAAACTCTTCGAGATTTTATTATGTGATTAGGATTAGATTATATATCCGAATTTATTGAAAATAGAAAGATTATATAAAACAGTTGTTATACAAATTTGTATATAAGTTGTTTTGCTTTTCAAAGAGATCCAAACTCATAAGGACAGGTTGACTATTACCCTGTAACATTCCATAAAATGATTTCGTGACAGTAAATCCAATACAAATTGAAAATCGTAATTTCAACTTTCAATTTCTCAATCAATAAAATCATGAAAAATCTGAAAATTTCAGAATCCATGAATAATTGTATAATAAATCTATAATTAAAATTTCAATTGATTTTATATATTTGTTGTTGAATTATTAATAGTTGAAAATGACGATTTTTGGTGTAAAAAGGTAGTTCATATTAGAGGTGGTTCAAAAGTAAAGTACTAGACTTATAAGGAATTGTAGTTTTTATAAGGACTCTTTTTATAAATTCAAACAATATATACTGAATAAAGTTTAGAATTCGTATAATAATTATTTTAAATTAAATTTTTAAAAATATAATATTTAATACCTATAGCTTATGTGATATTATATTCAAACAGTATTAGCTAGAGAGGACTTCCTTGAGCTAATTGTGGTAATGTAGAAGTTAAGCCAGTGAAACGAGGAACTTCTAAGGAAGCATGTGGGATTTTTATGGCGGTGGATGAGCAGGTATATTGTGAATTGAGGGGATTTTTTGAAAGACACATGTTCAAGGACGGCATTAAGATATGTAATTTTGTGGCTTTTAAAAGACACGTTGGAAGGCTTATGTTTTTGGATTTTAATACTTCCAAAGACGGAGAGATGGGTTTACAATATTTAATGAAGAGTCCGCTGGGAATCCTGGATGCTCGTTTATTTTGTGTCTATATCAACTGATCATGACACTGTTGTTTTTCTCTAGTTCTTAGGTATATTAACTGAAATCATGTTCAGTGAATGAGTGGAATCTCAGTCGGTAGACACTCCTTTTTATTCTTACCCGCTTTCACGATCTCTATGCTTGTGCTCACTGCGCGCATGAAGTCTGGCAAGTTAGAATTTCTCTGTACTTTTTATACCTATTGAACGGAAGGTTGCATTTATCGATCATCGTGTCTGACGTTCTTGCTCTTCGAAATCTGAAGAGTAAAGGGGAGGAGAAATATACAGAAAGACAATATATACTTCTCAAATGAAATGGTTAAAAAGCACAAGATTCCAACCGATCTACGTCATCACCTCTTGTATGTGTGCCTATACTAGCGCATGTTTTTGACGGAAAATTGTAGCTGGTAGCGATATAATTTTCATCTAGCGAGAAATGGACGCAGCGAGGTGAGAGAAGTTAAGAAGGAAAGCTTTGGATGCAGTCGAGACGTAGAAAATTCGTTTTGAACTGTTAAAGCCGTTGGAGTATTTGAAATGGGGTTTAATGACAGTGGATATATATATTTCTTTTTTCATGTTCATGTGAAGGTTCCAAGTGGAAATACTTCTCACATTAGTTCTGCTATTATAGTCATCCATCTAACAGGTTCTGATCATTACTCACGCCTCTGTCTCTATCCATAAGTAGGCCTACTATGACGGATTTCCCATATCGACACCTTTTACTCGATCCGATTAATTCCCATCCTAGTTCAAAAAGCCAGCAATCTAACTCTCAACCTGCACTTGCTAAATAGCGATGCAACCCATTGGTAACTCAATTCTTAATAATGACCTCTAAAGAAATGGTAACACTTGCACCTTGCATGAGAATGTTTTTCATTCTCCGGAGGACCGTATATTTATCCAGCCCAACAAATGAGATTCTCACAGTTGTGAAGTTTCTTGTTCTGGGGATATTGTGGGGATCTGAAAAGATTGAAAGTTGTAATAAGGCACAGTGGGAGAGATGTTTAGGATGATGACGAATATTAAGAATGAAGTGAGGGTAAGAATGGTTCCGACTTGATTGGATGGCGCTTGAGAGGTTGGTTGTGAATATTTTTGAGTGTTTGTGTTTGTTGGGTGGAAGGGCTCGTATGCAAATTATCTAGAATAATCCAGACGAATCTCACTATATGATTTGATGAATAATATAAGATTCTGTAGGTTTTATTGTATATCTCCAAGGTGTATATAATCATCAATTTAATGTACGTAGTAAGTCAAGCATCACCTCGATTCCGAGTAGTCTAGCTTGTGAACCAAAGAGCAGTACCCCATAGATATCTACGGAAACCATTTTGTTCCCTGATTAAAAACTAGTGGACCTCAACTGAACTACTAAGAAGGAGGTTGGAACTTTGTAGTCTGGATTTTGCTGGTGATCAAGTTTTCGCAGAGAGGATGTGGGGCTTTACACACACTGAATACCTAGTATTTAGGTGTAAGATGAAATAGAGACAAGATTGATGATAAACGCGATGTTTATTTGTATTTCTAGGTGGAACTCCTATGTAGGATTTCGTCTCGATGGTTGTTGTGGGTATTTTATAAGAGTATATACCATATAATTATCTTCACGTGTTAAAGTGGCTGTCCTACTAATTTCTTATTCTAGCTTAGACTCCGAGCCTGACAGACACAGATTAGATCCTGTAAAGAAACCTGAGAATTCAAGGGCAATTATTCTAGACTCTTTAAACTAGCAATAATCTCAGCATGTATAAGCTCCTTGGCCACGAAGAATAGAGTCGATAGTCGACATCACCATCGTCACATTCCATCAGAATGCTATTACACTAAAATATATGAAGATACAAAATCAACTATAATCGTCCTTTAGTTACTCCAGAGCGAAAACATATCCAGACCATGGATTTTGGTTTTGAGGAAGTACACCTAGTTCTCGAAGTGAGTTGTAAATAGATCTGTTGGATCTCTTTCTCGTATATTCGAAAAATCAAACCTTTTGTTGCGCCTCTCAAGAGTTGGTTATGGTGACTTTAATATCCAACTGTATCTGATTGAACTTGGTGGGTTGAATTTACGATTTTTTTCCTTCAACACCTCAACATAATTCATTCATCTATACAGTTTGTCCCACACAGTCCATCTTTCTCTACCTAATTTCCACTAGGATTAGATTGAATGACATATGCCAAATTTGTAAGTGCAACATTGCGACCTTGACATGAGAGAGGTAACTTTCGGATTCCAGTTTCAGAGATGAAGGAGGTTCGAGACACGACGTGTAACCTATTAAACAATGAT